GTGTGTATGTGTGTGTGTATGTGTATGCGTGCGTCTCTCTCTCTCTCTCTCTCTCTCTCTCTCTGTGTGTGTGTGTGTGTGTGTGTGTGTGTGTGTGTGTGTGTGTGTGTGTGTGTGTGTGTGTGTGTATCTGTATCTGTATCTGTCTGTGTGTCTGTCAGTCTTTCTGTCTGTCTGTGCACGTCTCTGTCTGTGTATGTGTGTAACAGCAATGGAAGTCACAGAGTAGTATGTATAATTACGTCGCAGACCGTGATTGTGTGAAAGGGGTGAAGTCTGACATCTCCCTTCCCCTAATGCTTTAGGCAACTGCAGTGCACTGTAAGGTCACACACTAACTGGGTCATGCCTACACATCATCCGATGCCAGGAAATTCGAGTTGGGCCTCTACCATGAATTTCTGCTGAAATTGCTTTAAATTATGATTATGACAGGGTTATGAATAACCATAATGCCCGGAGTACTATCATCAACAGTAAATGTACCGGTGTCGAAGTTAGAAGGTTAGGGTTAACTTTGAATCATGACTAACTCGTCAACGACACAAAATATCTAAGTACGGATTTCAGTTGTTATCCTCTGGCCGAGAGAGCTTTCAAAATTGCTTTGAATTATGACAGGGTTATGAATGAACATGATGCCCCGAGGACTATGATTAACCGTAAATGTGTAGCCTCTACCAGGCACCGCGGATCGCTGGAAAAATAGTAGAAATTGGCCGAAATAAAGGGATAGGGATCTGTGGGCCGCGAATTGGATCTTCTCTGGTATACTATCCCTAAATTTCGGCCAATTTCTACTATTTTTCAGCGATCCGCGGTGCCTGGTAGAGGCTAGTAAATGTGTCAGTGTTATAGTGCACGTTAGAAGGTCTCACGGCGTTTAAATAGAGGATAGTTACTCCAGTTGCCCACCCACACACACCCCCTCCCCACGTACGGTTCACAGGTCGTTGTTTTAGCGTGCTTTACTCTCTGACTCACACAACAGATGGACCGTACGTATGCTTGAACAGTTGTCAGTCTATTTTTACAAAACTTACACAGGTCATGGCATAACGTTTTTCATACAGCTGTTTGATATATGAAAACAAAATGGAACTTAAATTCGCTGAATACACTGGGATCAAATATGAAAGGTCGCATCCGAGAACAGAAAATTTGACCAAATATATTGTAGTTGCTAATAGTATAATTTCCCAATTATCTATTCGGTATCTGTATATATTATATGGGATCTTTTTGTCTTCCTCTGTCTTCTTAAAAAAAGAAGTCTAGCTAGTGATTTTTAGGAGTTATCAGTAGTTCTCTGTGTATTAATTGCCTGTTCTTATATACCAAATGTTTCTTCTGTACTTAGCCTTCGGGCATGGACAATACTATCTACTATAACAATAATTGTTACAAACCCCAACCCCAACCCCACTCCATAGCGTTCGTGCACAGTTATGTAATTGTAATTCAAAGGAAAATGAATTTCCGCCAACTTACCAAGTCTTGTCCCCCTCCCGATGCAAATCTACGCTGAAGCCGAAGTAACTCCCGTAGGGCCCCCGGCGAACTATCGCCGACCGCGTATCCACGTCTATGTTAAACCCAGTTCCAAACTCGATTAAACTTGTCACCAAGGCAAAGAGCAATCCTACGCTGTAGCTGAAGCGTCTGGTGGCCATTTTGTGAAGTTTAAACGCGGGATATGAGGGCTGGAGAGAGAAATTGTTGTTGTGATGTAGTCAGTTTTTAGCGGACCGGGGGTACCACTTCCTGTCAGTTTCATCACATGGGGGCGGGGGCGGTCCGTTATGGTAGCACACAGGAGGACGGGGGGAAGGGAACACCTGTTGGAAGCATCAATGAATCCCCCGGAACAAGAATCTTAGCCTGGGTGCCACCGAAAAAAATGGGTTCAGGATTATAAATGTAAATTCTTGAACTCTTCAAAGGGCCTTTGAAGTACCGTTCTATTTGGTTCGTGGTTGCCGTTACAAATCAGATGGCACCCAGGCTACAAGAATCTCCCTGTCAAACCTTTGTTCACATGTAAGGGACAGAGGTAGCATTTTAAGCACTCAAATCGACCTGCAGGTCGCTTGTCATTGAGGTCAGGAGGTCAGGGTCAGATGGTGTAGTTCCACCAAAGTCCACTAGACGGCGCTATTTTCGCAACGCAATGCCGATGTGAAAGACTTGTATCTTGAACATATATCTGGGAGACAACAATATCCACGAACAACTGCTACAAGGAAGAGAGAAACTCATACAGACCAAGCTATTTTATAATAAACGTAGTATTTTAGTCGAGGACTTCTTGTTCTCATTGTATTGGGAATATTAGTCTAAGTCTTAATTTTGTTCTTCTTCGTCTCATTATTATGCTTTTGCTGCTGTACAAAAGTTCCTTAAACTGAACCGATGTGACGCCGGCAAGTTCCAACAGTGGAAATTCGGCCTGTACCTGTGAGGACCTCTAGCTGCAGCAAATCGTTTGCTGACTAGAACATTGGGGGCAGATGGGTATTCGTTTATGATAATACCTAGCTAGAATTGATAGAGTCGATAAAAATGACATTCGGACGCAAAATTTATTTTTATATTCATTTATTGCTCTAAACAGTAGCGAAGTCGAAGTTTTCTATAAGAGGCTTATACTTCATTCAAATGAAACACTTCTTCCGAATAGTTTATGAAAGTTGAACACGAGAAAGAAAGTTTCTAGTTTGCACACGCAGATTCCGTCGTGCCTGTCCGTTTTGTGGTAGGTCGTTCCCGCCATTTGTATTTACTGGTCCGTCTTCTTGTCTTCGAGGCCCCTGATGTAGTAGGGGTAGTAGTAGGGATCGTGGCCGTCACCACTGCCGCCGTAGTCCACTGGGAAAAACAGCAAGGGGTATGATCTATGTATTAGTAGGCGAGGTGTTATTTCATCCATCCATTCATTCATTCATTCATTCGTTCGTTCATTAATTCGTTCGGTCGATCGTTCGTTTTTTGGGCCGCTCATTTCTTCATTCGCTCTTCCTAAATACTCACACAGTATGTTGGTGTAGAACATACACAACAAACGTACAACGGCCACCACCTTAAATGGAGTCTTTGAATACAAAGAAACAATCACATAATGTACAAAGATATTTCGACGTTTTGCCAGTGGCCCAGACCGCCAAATTTCATATATTGGTTACACCTGAGGTGGCAAATTCTCATTATGGTTTTTGAAAAGTGTGGAGTCTGTGGAATATATTTTGATATGATAGATCATGATAGCCGTTGCAGATTGGTAGCTTTGACCTTTCTATCTGACCTTGAACTTTGACCCCATATGGACCGCGTCCTTTTCCACTTATAGTGCAAAGGGGAGTGGTAAGTAATCAAATATAAACCAAGGATTACAGAAATGTTACTTCAAGTTGTGACTTACTGCAGTACCACTCGTCCTCGCCGTACATGCAGTCGGAGATGCCGTCGCACTCCCAGTCGGCCGGTATCTCCGTCCCGTCATCACACCAGTACGAATCATCGTCTGTGGGAGTTTGGGGAAAATTACGGAAATTTGGGGTAAGTCCTAGCCTCTACCAGGCCTTTCTACGGGAATATGGATCGTAGAATTCGGCAAAAAAAGAGAGTAAAATTGGCCAAGGGAGTCCGGCCGCGGGGAGGTAGTTTTTTTCCCTCCATCAAACCTACAAGGCGGCCAAACTATCCTGGCAATTATTCTCCCATATATAGCCAGCGTAGTTAGTCTGGTAGAGACTAGGTAAGTCCCAATTCATTGTAGTGTTGGCAGTTAAAGTTTAGTCTTTATTTCACCAGTACGTATACGACTCATCGTCTGTGTGAGTTTGGGGAAAATAACGAAAATTTGGGGTAAGTCCCAATTAACTGTTACAGTAGTGTTGGGAGTTCAAGTTTAGTTTTTATTTCACCAGTACGACTCATCGTCTGTGGAAGACAGGAGCGTGTAGTGTACATTGTTGTATCCAGAATGGTGCTTTATCATCCAGAACCATGCTCGGGAACGGTTCTGGATAGCCTATGCGTATCCAGAACCGTGCTTGGGGCAAGTCTATGTTCCTGGGACCAGTCTACCTTCTTGGGGCAAATCTACCTTCTTGGGGCAAGTCTACGTTACTAGCGTCAATCTACGTTCTGTTATACGCGGAAACTACCAAGAAATACTACTATCTGATGATTTGCCCAGGACTCCAGGAAGAATAGTGTAAACGTCACACTAATGGAGATCCTAAGCAAACAAACTAACTTACTAACTAACTAACAAGCGTACTTACCGCCACACATCTCGTCCTCTCCGCTCATGCAGTCCCACATGCCGTCACACACCCAGCTGTACGGGATCGTGTACCCGTCATAGCAGTAGAAATCTGTACGAGCACAGGCAACATGTATTTTTTTATATATTCCAACATGTAATTACAAGACGTGGTGGGGACACACTCAAATTTGCCGCCACCACTAGTGACACAGGGGACAATACGGGATCGTGTACCCGTCATAGCAGTAGAAATCTGCAAGGCCATAGGCAACATGTTTTATATACATGTACAATATTTTTGTCCCCTGTGTTGGAGCCGGCATTATTTATACAAGACGTGGTGACGACACACTCAAGTTTTTTCAACTTGTATTAATGCCGCCACCAACACCGTCGGGGACAATGCAATACTCATTTTAACATTTTCGACATATGCTGGTCTTCCGTTTTTATAAAAAAAGGCTTTTTTGACATCCATTAGAATTAGAATCTGTGTTGTAGATTAATAATTATTATGATTATTAATTATTAATTATAAAGTACGATTACGACGACACTCACCGCCGTCATCCACAGGGCCACAGTTGTCCTCGTCTTCCCCGCATGAACAGTCAGTGATGTAATCACACACCCAGGACTCCGGGATGGAGGTACCGTCATCGCAGTAGGCTGTCAGTCATGAGAGAAACAAGGGGTGATTATTGGGTGACTACCAATATTCTTGTTATTCAATTTGGTTATATTTGTAAATATTAATGATATTTTGTACAATTCCGTGTTCCCTAAAACTACGTAATTCAGCCTTTTTACAATAATTATTGTATTATTAGGCTGCAATGTTGTTTTAGTATTGTGGCAATTTGCAAATAAAACTTTTATATATTAGATACTCTGAAGGTAATACCTTCGAAGTTAAACATAACTACAAAGGTAACATTTGCAAAGCAATTGCATAATGTTTACCCTCCCCTATGGTCTCTCTGTTAATTTTTACTCAAACACATTCATATGCATGGTGACAGGAGTCTAAATCCCTCCTGCTATAGAATTGCAACATGTTGTAACGCAACACTAGTTACCATGGTAACAGACGTCTGGTTCAGGTCATTGACCTTATTGGTTTTAGAGGAGAAGAAGAAGGCGAGGAAACAGAGCAAAAACCATATGTTTTCCTTCGGTAAACATAATAATGAAATTACATAACAGTATTACAGGATGAGGGGGCGCCCTCGAAGGACCTGGACTAGTGACCTTAAGGAATGGACAGGACGTCCCCTGAGTCACCTGACAAGTCTGGCTGAGAACCGTCCTGGGTGGATAACTCTTGTGGACAGTTTAGTTGCCCCGACGGCAGGACAGACTGCTATGGGACCGGTGAGGTGAGGTGAGATTACAGGATTTCTTTCCTTATAGAACAGTGAAATGTGGATGATTATTAGATACTCTGTGAATCTATCATTTAAGGGTAATTGTTATTGTTATACCGTAGGACTCGTTGTAATAGTAGTAGTAGTCGTCGTAGCCAGGAGTCGGGTACATGTACGACATGTAGTAGTCGTATGTGCGCTTCTTCTCAGCTTCTTTTCCTTCCTCGGATCTCTTGCCTACAGTTGGAAAAATCGGAACCTTATGAATTCTTTGATGCCAGGAAAACGGCTATTGTTTCCAAGATCTATATAAGCGAAAATCTACCAAGCAAGTACCTTCAGTGCCTTTTCACTAACATTTGGTTATGGATAATTATAATCATAACGTGAATGCCCATGCAGCGGCCATGCTGGTGGGTAAGTGAGTGGATGGCGCAATGGACGTCATATGAAATATTTGTTAGGCTCGTTGGGTCTTTACCAACATACAAAATAACAACAAGGAGCTAGAATTGTACAACTGTTGCTCTACTTCTTCATTTGTTTATAGACTATGGCAACCACTCGATATCTTTATTTGCAATCAGATACAATCATGTACAGATACATATTTTATGCACAGATACAGAGTCATGTACAGATATACAGATACAGATTTTCCGGTTATAGACAGCGATGGACTAAATGGCGTAATTAAATCAAAGATTAAAAAAAAAGATTAAAAAATTACCAACCAGCCAGTTTCTTGTCCGCCTTATCCGCCAGTTTGCGCAGATTCTGTGCCCGCTTTGCGTCCATCTCGTGCATGGCCCTGGCCATCTCACGACGGGTGCTCTCTGGGAGAAAACAGATCGTAATGTTTGGATGGCTGTTATGTATTTTTTATCTATTCACATCTATATCACTTATATATATTCTGTACGTAATTTGCCACATACATATAGTCTTTGGAGGTGTTTTCTAGCATGTATAGCACGCTGCAATTTAGCCTTAAGGCTACTATTTTGTACTTTTAGTGTGTGATGTTTCAATAAACCAGTTCATCTCATCTAAGTAAGTAAATGATCGCGGTTTTTTTTATAATGTTCTTCTTATTTGACATCTTCATTTCTCTCACCTGACTTCTTCTCCTTTGCGTCTTCTTTCCCCGCCATCATGGACCTTTTCTTCTCGACAGCCTCAGTCGCCTTCTTGACATTGCTACGTGCCTAGATATGGATGTACATTACGTCATGACTTATGCTGAGGTCACCTTTCCAAATTTGGACCCGGCCGGGCTGTCTTAGGGAACGAGAAGTACGATATAAAAGATAAGGGAACACAGAAAAGTTTTCGATGATAATTATGGGCACTATTCCTGTATATTCTTGATATGAATTGTTAGTTTTTCGTTCATACAAACAGCCCAGCCGGGCCCCGGTTTGGAAATGTGACCTAGGCATTAGTCTGTAGTTCCATATGTCCATGTCGAAGAAAACATTCCCTTGGAAGTATGACGGAAATTAACCACCTTTAAATTAGTCACTAATGCTGTTAGTATTCTACCACTGTCGACGTGAGAGACAGTCGGTATCCAGTCCTAACTCATGAACACCTCTGCATAAGGACTGTCTAACAATGGTAACAACCATTCAGAATCCTGCCTCTTTACTGTTACTCCTTCCATTGAGTGACCATAGGTGTTTCTGAATACATTATGAGGAGTGAAGGAGGTTGTGTATAATCAGGTCAACCGCCCAACACTGAACAGAGACGGGGGGCGACACAGGTTATCTGGCTGCCTCTTTACTGTTACCCCTTCCATTGAGTGACCATAGGTGTTTCTGAATACATTATGATGAGTGAAGGAGGTTGCGTATAATCAGATCAACCGTCCAACACTGAACAGAGACGGGGGGCGACACAGGTTATCTGGCTGCCTCTTTACTGTTACCCCTTCCATTAAGTGAACATAGGTTTTTTTCCGCGTATATATAGAACCAAGTAATGTCTTATTTGATTTTGAAAAAAAAGACTTGTAGAATAACCTTGAGGAAGTTGGCTCTTTCCTTGCCCCTCTTCGCCTTCTCCTGTGGTGACAGAGTCCTCTTGGCGGCTGGCTGGGCCTTCTCACTCTTCTTGCCAAGAAGCTGTACAAAGGACAAAGGCAATGCAAGGATGTCTCAGTTTCTGATCAGGATAGTTCAGGATTTCTGCAAAGGACTTGCGGGAGGTATGGTCGTTCATCATTTTTATCCATAGGCATTTCTATCCGTAGATATCTACGTGTGTGTGTCACTTCAGATCAATGGATTGACTCCAAATTTAGTTGGTCCACCAGAGAGTACATTGTACAGTTTGCCGCACCCCGTACTCTCCAGCCGACCAACTCCCCGGGCATGTTATCTCTCAATCTGGCCAATTTCTACTCTTTCCAGCCGCCTCCCGAAGCCTGGTAAAGGCTAGTATTTGGCCAATTTCTAATCTTTCCAGTCGCCTCCCGAAGCCTGGTAGAGGCTAGCTAACAGCCACCTCCCGAAGCTTGGTAGAGGCTAGCTAACAGCCACCTCCCGAAGCCTGGTAGAGGCCAGCTAGCAGCCGGAGCCTGGTAGAGGCTAGCTAACGGCCGCCTCCCGGAGCCTGGTAGAGGCTAACGGCTGACCACAGCCCCGACAGCGATCCCGAAGTGAAGCCAACCCAGACCCAGGGGGATTCAGATGACTGGACACATTTACTAAGGGGCACTTTAGACTGACGACGGTTAAATAGTCGTACGAATGTTTATCGTCAAGATGTTGCCGGCGACGGTATTTTACCACCGTCTAAAGACGATCAAAATAGTCGTACGACGGTAATCCTCGAATCGTCGTCACTACCACCTCGGACCCTATCGTGCGATCCTTCAGCGGGGGGTCCGAGGAGGATTTTCCACCGTCTAAAGTGAACCGTCGCCGGCGAAGGAAGTGGGAGGTCATTGGCCTTATGCAAATAAGCCTGCAAGCGTTATTTCATGTCCAAGCACATCGCCTGTATCATTAAATGTTGTCAAACCAAGACTTTTCTATCGTCATACGTGTTTAGCACAATCCCCTGCCACCAATCGCTACTTCTCCGGTACGAACCGATATAGCCAGGCCGGCGGCAGCACCGAACGCCGGGTTCAAACCCGGAATATTGCCCGGTTTGTCACACGTGCCTCATACCCCTTCTTTGCTGGGCACAAACTAGGAGTCTCATCCACAGAACAACGAGTTAAAAGCAGAATAAAAACAATCTTCTGGCAGGGTTCTGCAGCATGCCGAAAAAAGGGGGTTCTCTCGCCATTTTGAATTGGCGCGCGGCGTGCCATCCTGCGCTGCGGGTGTCCGTCACTCTTCCTGGTCATGTGTCTAAAGTCAGCCGTCGCCCACAACGATTGTCGTGCGATCGTGTACCGTCGTCAGTCTAAAGTCGGCCTAAGATCCCGCGGAGTGCATCGGGTTTGTTTGCCGAGGCGCCGCGCTGCTTTGAGGAAAGACTAACCGGTCTTTACCGCTAGACTCGCATGACCTGGTTAAACTACTCAAGAGCCGGCCTTGGACACGCCAAAATCTTCTCTTTTCAATGCTTCAGTTTGCCATGTGGTTACCCTGGTAGCTGTTCCAAACAACACAATTTGACAGGCCGCCTATTTTGGAGCACGGACCGTGGGCTGACAGCATAGGTAGTGTAAGAACCAGCCTCTTCAACAACTACCAGATTTACCCAATGCATGAAAACGTTATTTCTATACAATAACAGATTTAAATCTGTGAAGCAAACCTTAAGGAAACTGTGTTTGAATCCCGTTGTGCTTTCTTCAGATGACTGAAACTAGGCCGTTTGGACGAGTGCTACGACTAAGAAAGACCCGACAAAAAAACTTCAACACTGAAGACGGTTGTTCGTTTGCACTCTTCTGCGTAAAGCCCCATCACGACGAACCTACGATGCTTTTTTACGCGACAATATCGCCGTACGTCGTAGGTTTGAGAAGAAATGGGGTTTTCAAACTTTGGTCTCAATCGCCGTCAAAAAGGGGTCGTGTGGCGTAGCGGTGGTGTTCGTCTCAGACCCAAGAGGTCCCGGGTTCGAATCCTACCCGATGCCACCGATCTTGTGCCCTTGGGAAAGGCACTTTACACGACTTTCCTCACTTCACTCAGGTGTAAATGAGTACCTAGCTTCCGTTAGGGACGTCCCTCGGATAGGATGTTAAATGGAGGTCCCGTGTTTGGGAGATCCATACCCCACGCACGTTAAAGAACCCACCTGTTATGCCAATCCTTCCACAAATGTGGTAAATCTTCATAAATTCAAAACCATCGTAGGTGCGTTGTGACCGGCGCTTAACGTCTGCTGAGGCTGCTCTATAGAATTTGTACCGCGTTTTTGTAGCGAACATACGTGTAATCTGTGGCATCATCTCCCTCCAAATGACTTGGAATATGACTGAAAAATTACTTAAACCTTGTTTACATTTGCAGAAGACGAATGAACATGTTTCGCGTCAAAAGAACCTGAATACGGATTGTTTTTCAAAAACGTTTTCTATTCTTTTAAATCCTATAGCTACTTCATCATTTTGGATCATATTCAACTAATTAAACCGAGGGTCGCGCAAATCCAAGTTGGTCGCTCTGCGGCCGCATTGCAATCGCGGTGGAAATGGAGTAAAAAACCCATAGAGACTGTTTTGGGCGTCGGCGGTAATCGCAAAGAGTTTCATGCAATTCTATCATGAAGGTTCATCTGTGTTGGTAGCTACACGTTTAGACTTAAAACTTCAGATCCAACACAAAGAAGTTCTCTCACCTAGAAGTTTCGACCTGTCTACAGAGGAAGACCAAAGTGACTGGTCGAAAGCTCTAAGTGAGAACTTCTTTGTGCTGCATCTAAACTTTTAACTCTAAACGTGTAACTACCAACACAGATTGACCTCCTGCCTGCCTACCCGCCTATATGCACAGGATGAACCTCCATGTCCTTCGAATTCGAATGATACTTTTTGCATGAAAGTGCGAGAGAACTTCTTTGTGTCGGATCTTAACTTTTAACTCTAAACAAAAATGTGATTCCGTCCTTGCCAAATGGACATCTGTATCTGTATATAACCGCCTTTCGGCATAACACACCAGCTTCGCAGGCACGTGGCGCGGCGGCAGCTGGCTATATTACACCGATCGACTTGTCACACCTAACCCTTGAACATCTAACTCCAAACATTGTTTAAAGCTAGCTAATGATAATGATAATGACATTAAGTTTTACCTGTTGAAGGGAGCGTTCCAGTTCCTTCAGCTCGTCCACCGAATTCTCCCTCTTCTTACTGACGGCAGCAGACGCGCACACCACCGCCAGAGACAACAGGAGAACCACGCGTAGCGCAACCATGATGTGCCGTGTAGTACTCACACCGAGTTCTGCTGCGAAAAACTGAAGCGCCGCGCACCGCCCTGGTCTCTTATATAGGTATCTATGTACGCATCTTAAGGCCAAAGCAAGTAATTTTTATGGGTGACATCAGCGCGCGCATTAATTTTCGCGTGAGTTTGGAAAAAAAAGAAATTATGTTGCCTTCTGACAGTGGTCAACATGCCGAAAATGGGCAAAGATGTCTCTTGCCATGCCGGAATGTGGATGGCAGATAACTATGAAGAGAGGAGACAAGACAAGGCTCTGAATTGATGTTTTGTTTCTTACTTTAATGCAGTGGTATGTGATGCTGGCTGTGTATATGTAATGTTCCCACTGAATCAAAACCATTTGTACAATGATTGAGTCAAACTCTTAAATTATAGAACCTTGTTTCTTTCAGCCCGTCTTGTTTTTTTCGCCCGCTCGCATTAGATTTGGAGTCTGCGGACTATGTCATCCATAAAATTTACGTGCTGTGGCCTAGCTTCAGCAAACATACCACGGCCACGCCCAAGATTTCTCTCTAAGACGAAGACATCATCCGTGCATCTTTAGGACTCAAGTTACTTTACAGAGTAACCGTCTAGATTAAACATGAAAAGTAGACAAAAGCTCTGGAGGATGCTTGAAAACAAACCCTGGTTAAGAAAGTATTATCGTGGCCTTGGTTTTTCATCGGAAGAGCGAAGCTGACAAGCATTTTTGTTTGAAGATGTCTTGTAATGTGTTACCTGTATTTAGTTAAAGGGATAGATAACAGGTTTTGTATTCATTTCTATCATTCAAACCCGGTCGATTTACTTTTGGCAAACAACACGATGCATGTACACGATGAAAACCAACTACGGGACGCAGAACATACACATTCATATGATCCCAGACTGGGGCATTCCTTAGTTAGTTGTGCAGATGTCGTACAAAATTAAGATGTCGTGTTACGGTCTTAGAACCTTATCGGCGGTTGTCGCACGACACTTAACGACGAATGTGGCCGTAACTCGCGATTGGGTCGTCATTTTTACGGTATTTTGGTTTCTCTAATGCTGAGGTCACAGTTCCCACACGGGGCCCGGCCGGGCAGCTTTTGGGAACGAAAACTACGATATAAAAGACAACAAAACACTGAAAAGTTTTTAATAATACTTATGGGCACTATATCTGTATATTCTTGATATGAATGGTTAATTTTTCGTTCATACAAACAGCACGGCCGGGCCCCGGTTTGGAAATGTGACCTAAGCATAAAGCTATGGAACTGTTCTCATGCTGTACGTAGCTTGCTACACGAAGAAGTGCAATAGTCAATCAGTGCAATATATATTAATGTTTCGGCGTCCAGATATTCCGACGCACACATACTTACCTTGCGTCCGTGAGTTCCTTAACCCATATTAAGGGATTGGCCGAGTTGTTTTTTTAACTTAACTATCCGTCTTGTATGTTTGTCAAAACTTTATAAAGATGATTTTAAGTCAAGTCTGTAACTGACCTCCGACTGTTTAGAGTTATAGTCTTTATATTCCAGAAATGAATATTATTTAATTAGTATACTGACTAGTGCTTCAGCTCAAGATTCAACAAGAAAGTTTGCTTTAGGTGTTTTCCATCAACACGCACGGTGGTTAGTTCCGAGGTTTTTAGGTCGTCACAGTTTCTGAGGTTTGTTGTTTCATTTATTCATGGGTAGCCAAGAGTTAAAGAAACGGAATCTTCTTCGCGATACACTGTCCACAGACCGAGTCGTCACACTAAACCGGGGCACATGGATGATTTGGGTTTCTACAGAAATACAAGAGAACTTTTATTTGTTTCTTATGGTATACTTTTACAAATTACACATCGTACCGTTTCTGGACAGGTTATGACAGACAATGGTGTTCCTATTGACTATTTTTGGGGGTGAGGACGCCAAAACCGTTGGTTCAGCATCCAAAACCAGAGGTTTTCTTCATTCAAATTGTTCTGCCTAATACTGAGGTCACAATTCCCGAGCTTTTGGGAACGAAAAGTACGGCATAAAAGACAACAAAACACAGAAAAGTTTATAATAATAATAATCATGGGTAATATATCTGGGTAGTCTTGACATGAACTGTTAATTTTTCGTCCACACAAACAGCCCTTGGAAATGTGACCTAAGCATTAACAAATACGTCCGATACATCAGGGGAAGCTACAAGGGTTTTGGTACTAACCGCGCCGTAGCACCATGACTGACTAAGTAGTAATGGACGGTAGTATTTTACCAAGCCTCTACCAGGCTTTGGGAGGCGTCTGGAAAGAGTAGAAATCGGCCAAATAGAGAGATAACATACCAGGGGAGTTGGTCTGTTGGAGAGTACAGTTTGCCGCTTGATTGTTCTCTCCAGCAGACCAACTCCCCTGGCATGTTATCTCTCTATTTGGCCGATTTCTACTCTTTCCAGCCGCCTCGCACGAGGGCATGTCTCTGCCGCGGTGGGGGAGACGCACTCAGCCCAACCGCAGACGGTATGTGCCGGAACTGACCCGCCCTCCGACAGGTACAGGTACATGTTCCTCCTGCCGCTGTGCAGTTACAAATACGGGTACAGGGACAGATACAGGCACAGGGACAGGGACAGGTACAGATACATGCCCCTCCTGCTAGCAGGTATAACTAGCAGTACAGGCACAAGCTAGTAAATGTCCCTCCTACCACTGAGCAGTTACAGGTACATTTACAGGTACAAATAAATGTCCCTCCTACCACTGTGTAGTTACATGTACATGTACAGGTAAATGTCCCTTCTGTCACTGTGCAGTTACAGGTACAGATACATGTCCCTCCTGCTAGCACGTATAGCTAGCACGTACAGGCACAAGTGAATGTCCCCCCTGCCGCTGTGCAGTTACATATACAGGTTCATGCATGTCCCTCCTACCACTGTGCAGTTACATGTACATGTACAGGTACAGGTACAGATACAGGTACATGTCCCTCCTGCTAGCACGTATAGCTAGCACGTACAGGTACGTAGATACATGTCCCTCCTGCTAGCACGTATAGCTAGCACGTACAGGTACGTAGATACATGTCCCTCCTGCTAGCACGTATAGCTAGAACGTACAGGCACAAGTAAGTGTCCCTCCTGCCACTGTGCAGTTACATATACAGGTACAGGGACAGATACATGTTCCTCCTACCACTGTGCAGTTACAGTTAACGTTACATGTACAGGTACAGGTAAAGGTACAGAAGTGATTCATTTGAATGAAGTATAAGCCTCTTATAGGAAACTTCGACTTCGATACTGTTTAGAGAAATAAATGAATAAAAAATTCACTTTGCATCCGAATGTCATTTTTATCAATTCTATCAATGCCCATCTAAACCAATGTTCTAGTCAGCAAACGATTAGCTACAGCTAGAGGTCCTCACAGGTACAGGCCGAATTTCCACTGTTGGAACTTGCCACCGTTGCAAGGGTTCAGTTTGAGGAACTTTTGTACGCCAGCACCAAATGTGATATCCAGACAGCGTCCGGTTAAGGACCCGTCTCCTAGTTCTCTCAGCTCCTTGTTCTGAAAAAAAAGGAAGAAAATATGTCCACAGGTTTTGAAATAGTTCTCATACAAAGAAAGCATGCTGTATCATATTTTGTCATATTTTGTTCTTTTATAGAGAGAGGGAAAGAGAAAAAGGTGTAGAGAGATACGCACACATAGTTACAAAGGCGTTTTGTACATGTGTGTTTGTGAACATGCCTGTGATTGTGTGTGTGACTGGATGTGTGAGTGTGTGTGAGTGAGTGTGTGTGTGTGTGTGTGTGTGTGTGTGTGTGTGTGTGTGTGTGTGTGTGTGTGTGTGTGTGTGTGTGTGTGTGTGTGTGTGTGTGTGTGTGTGTGTGTGTGTGTGTGTGTGTGTGTGTGTGATTGTGTGTGCGTGCGTGCATGTGTACGTGTCGAGCTATCTGTAGGTGCGCTCGAATACGTGTACATGATAATACGAAGTCCTATCCTATAACCAAGCCAAGTGTATCGATATCATAAAACAAATGCGGTACCTCCTGATGCTGGAACTTGATGGCGTTCTCCTTTTTGCAGAGCCCGACAGACAGAACCTCCCCGTCCCTCCCCTCCTCCAGTATAACACACAGCGAACCGGACTTCAGCACCCCGCTTTTGTCCAAGCTAAAACTCTGAGGGAAAAACAAAAATGCACGTTAGAAATATACATTAGCACTACACCGAGGTAACATTTGCAAGGCAAAACTATTGGCCTGTTTATTTTTATTCAAACACTTTCATATATATTTCTTTATTTCTTTATTTGAATTTACCACATGCAAAAACAAGTGGAAGGGAGGACAAAACAGGTGTATCAACGCCTTTACAAGTTGTCCTCCCAAATATATGGTGACCAGCCCCCAAACTGTTCTGCAATTTGCTACATAACACCACAGGGTGTCAGCTATAGCACCAGTTACCGTGGTGACTGCTGTCTGGTCCATGTCAATGGCCTTTTTGTTTCGAGAAGAAAAAGTAAAGTAGCAAAAACAATATATTTTCCTTCTGTGAAGGTAAGCATATTAATGTAATATGGTGGTTCAGTTAATAAAATTATTAATTGTCAGATGAAAGGGTTTTTTGATAATATCGAAGGTATACGTATAATTTTCATTTTAGAGCAACCGCTTTTAAGTTAATACCTGCTCTGCTATAAAATCATCTCACCACGTACCGTTTGAAATGTCTTCAAAGTACATTTCTGTGCCCTTCTGCCTTCTTAATCTTATTTAACTGTTTGCAGAAGAAGCGTATGATTTTCTCCTACCTGATGCTCCCCCTGTCCATGACAGGGCCACAGGCCCAGATGTGCGCCGCCTAACGTGTCCACACACACGGGAATCTGCCCCTCAAAAGTTTATCTAATCATCTCACCACGTTCCAGTTGAAATGTCTTCAGGGTAAATTTCTGTGTTCTTCTGCCTTCTTAATCTTATTTAACTGTTTGCAGAAGAAGCGTATGATTTTCTCCTACCTGATGCTCCCCCTGCCCGTGACAGGGCCACAGGCCCAGATGTGCGCCGCCTAACGTGTCCACACACACGTCCTGCTGACCCAGGTTCCGGATCTTAGAGAAGGGAACAGGGAAAGAAACTGTCAACAACTTACTGAGATCCTGGTACATAGCATTCTACAAGTGTTCTTCCTGTAAGTAGATGCAAGCCCTATATTCTTTATTCTTTATTCTTTATTCAAACAATGATCAAAATGGCAGCAGTACATAAAAATTATGGACCGCCGTATTGTACTGACCTTACATTTACATAAAAATACAATGTAGGTACGAACAGAACATACAAATTCACGACAAGATTACATTGCTTGCAGCTACCTGTCCATGTTTTTCTTTCTATAAAAACAGTGCGAAGTATTTCTTTACCTCTCCGACTGCCTGTAGGTTAATTTGCGGCACTCCAAGGTCAGGATAGATGTTCTCCAAGTACCACTTAAAGGGACGACACTTACTTCGGAACTCCAGCTGAAATGTAGTTTCGAAATTTCAGTATAGATATTGCTGAAATTACAGAGCCCTATCAACAAAGATAATAAAAAATAACTAGAAAGGTAACATCTTAAAAACAAATGCATAATGTTTACCTTAGTATATGGTCTGCTCTGTTAATTCTTACTCAAACACTTTCACATATATGGTCTAAATCCCTCCTGCTACAAAATTGAAACATGATGTAACCAAACACCAGTTACCATGGTGACAGACGTCTCTATGATATGTATACACATATTAACAACAAATATGATGACGTTACAAGTAAATTCAGAGAACAGTACGGTGCCTAACATTTTACAATGTAGAAGTGATATTTTTGTTTCAGGTTTTGCAGTTATTGTGTAAGTCGCAATGTGTCGCTTCTGCACAGTACCTGTTCAGTGATGTTCCCGTAGTCGATGTGTAAGGCCTCCGGCATCAGAGCGTAGAAAACCTTCTTGTACCTGTCTTCCAGCCAGACCTCGGCGACTCTTCGGGTGTTGTGACTTTTTCATGTACAGTACATTGTGGAAATGTTAACGACTTCATTTTAATGACAATGAAAAATGACAATGAACTTTATTGCATATAAATTCACGCCCTACATGGGCCAAATGCACAAAGTTTTAACTTTGTGCATTTGGCCCATGTAGGGCGTGAATTTATTTAAAAATAACTGAGGTATAAGGATACGTAGAAGGAACAAGTGTTACATTGCTGTGCTACATCTATATGTACATTATCTCTTCTCTCTTTTTGAGACAAGTATGACACAAATGTACATAGTTTTTCATTTACATCGTAGTGCTTGGATGTCATAACATGTTTGATGTCGGCAAGTGTGCATATTTCTTTTCGAATTTTGAATGTTGAACGAAAGAATGAAAGCAAATTAATTTTAGGCAATGTGTATAGCAAACACTAACTGTATGCCAGATACAAAATGAGGTAAATGTACTAGTATATCAACAAGAATTTATTTCAGAAAAAAAGACGTGATCTCGTTTGGGCATACCTGAATACCTCAAAAGCACCGCCAGGAAAGATGTACGGTTGGCTCTTTCGGAACACGTGACCCACGCGAGAACACGGCAAAATCTCGAGCCGGCCGCCACACATCCAGATCTGCAAGCAAAGAATTTTGCATTTTTAACATTTATTACTAAACAATATTAATAAATAGTTGACATTGGCAAAACAATATAGACACACTTCTATAGGTAGTGCTGATGACGTCAAAGGAATGCAAGAAATCAAATCAAATAAAAGGATACAAAACGATCTGGACACACTTTCTATAGGTAGTATTATGAAGTCAAAGGAATGCAAGAAAATATAATATCAAATCAAATAAAAGGATACATTTTTACACATTTATGTCCATAATGTACATGTATCTTCTACGTTTACTTCATTGTTTACTTCAAGCAAATATCAGTATATCATTAGACAAGGTGGGACAATACGTCTTCCATGGTTTACAAAAGAGAAGTCAAACCCTTCAGACATAGTTTTAGACATAGCAATGGGTTCAGACAATTACATCTTATTATGTAGATTTTGAGGTTATAGAACCAAACTGAATACAAATATATATGACATGAAATACTGCCATACACAATTGTGGATAGGTTACGACAAGTTATATGTAAACCTGACAGATGTAGAGAAGTTAGTATGTCACCTTGAAAGAGATTTCTATGTTCTCGCCTCCCCAGATAAATAGTTCCGGGTCGTACGCCCCAAGCTCGTAAAAGTAGTCCCTCTCTATAGAGAACAATCCGCCGGCCATGGTAGGAGATCTGAAAATCAACAAAATAAAAAGAAATTCAACTTGACAGGTCAGATTATGCTATATGATACTAAAGAGCTCGAAATACTGGGAGCATATGCACCTTAGTGCAGGTAAAATTGGAGCTGTGTATTTCTGATGCCTACCTTCACCTAATCGGCATTTGTGTGTTTGTATTGTGTTTATGTATGTATACATATAGGTGAATGTGGATTTTTATTTTCTGAATTGGCTGTTACCACCTATGAAGTATATAAAAAATAATGCATATGTTAATAATGGTAATAGTTTTTTTAACAGTTTTCAGTATGACCCATACTTCTCAAAGACTGAGTGGAGAAAGCAAAATGTGTCTGGTGCAAAGTAGACAAGTAGTTACCTGCACCACTGCAGGTATGCAGAAAAAACTCTTCTTCAAGATCCTTTAACAAAATGTGGTAAATATTTTTAAAAAAGATATTTCAAGCCCAGTACTTACATGATCGGCCAACTTGGGTCCTTCCTCCCCAGGGATTGGAACGAGGGGATAGATCTCCACTCGAATTTCAACTCCTTCCAGTCCATGCCTCCACGCAGAGTCTGAGCTTCTAGGTACCTAAAGGATGGAGTCTTCTTTCTTATATTTATTGTTGACATACATGGTAAGCCAAGTTTTTCTACTACATACTTAGTATCTAACAAGGTCTTTGAAATTAAATTTAAAAAGACATTGATCGTATAAAGGACAAAGTGGTGTGTATGATACATGCATAGTAGCACTTTTCATAATAAACTTCTTTACTTGGCGAATGCATATGTTCCCAAGTAGTCTAGATACAATGCAATCGTCTGAAGTATTGCTCTGCGATAAAGACGTCTGTAAAATTACTAAATCGTGGTTTGGGGAGTATGATTACAGGTAGTCGAACTAGTGACCACAACGCTTCCGTGTCCAAATTGCTCCCTTACTTTCCCACTATCCCTTACCAAGAGTAAACAATTTTACTACTAAAATCAAAAAACCCTGGAACCCGCATGTTAAAGAAGCAGTGGGTAAATTCGTCTTCCTTTGCCTCAAAAGAAGAAGTCAAACCCAGCAAAACTAGTACCATGTATGTTGTATGTTGTTGAATGTAGTATAATGTTAGACATAGTCTCTCATAGCATTGTATTTTCTTTTTCATACAAGTTGTTTTTACCTGCAATTAGCCCTCGGGCATGTATTTGCAATAAAATTTCCATAAAGGTACTGGTAAACGCCAACTCACGCAAACGTCCTGTCGTCTATGGTGTCTATGACGGGGCAGACGACGTTAAACGTTGGCAGATAACATCACTTAAGTAGTATAGTGTGGTCTGGCGGGTATGATTACACGTAGTCGAGCTAGTAACCGTCTCAATGCTTATGAAAGTGCTGGTAAAACACAACTTACGCGAATGTCCTGTCGTCTATGGCGTCGATGACGGGACAGACGACGTTGGTTCTGTTCTGTCTGATCCTTTTTCTTTGGTTTTCTTTTTATACATGTTGTTTTTACCTGCAATTAGCCCTCGGGCATGTATTTGCAATAAAATTTCTATAAAAGTTTTGGTGAACGGCAACTTACGCGAATGTCCTGTCGTCTATGGCGTCGATGACGGGACAGACGACGTTGGTTCTGTTCTGTCTGATCCTGTCCAGGAGCGGCTCCAGCCAGCCCACGTTACACTCGATATGGGAGTCCAGAAACGTCAGGACCTTTCCACTAGCAGCGGCTTAAAACGAGGAATCGTTAACGATACGGAAATTTCATAAAAACGTACAGGATACAGTTTGTTTGCTTGTTTGTTTGTTTGTTTGTTTGTTTATTTATTTATTGAGATCTCCATTAGTATGGTAAACTCCATACTATTCTTCCTGGAGTCCAGCAGCATAAAATAAAATAACAACAATAATAATTACTTTTAGTAATAATGATAATAAATAAAACATACAAATCACACAGAATTTGTGTGATTACTGAAATATTTGTGGCAAGGGCCTCTAAATTGTTTTGAACTCTTGACTGGTGACCTCTCCCCTAGTGACAGAATGATCGACATGACGATAGCGGTCACTCAGAGGAAGAAGAGAAGAAGAAGAAGATTTGAATCTCACCTGCTCCCAACATCCGGGCTCTTATAAGACCCTCTCTCTTCCTAGTGCGCATGATCCTGACCTGTGGGAACCTCTTGATGTATTCGTCCAGCTTCCCCTTCAAGTGTTCTGCGCATGTGTGGCAATAGATGTGTAAAATGTCAACTAATAACAACACCAAAGAAGCCACGTGACAAGCCTCACTGGATCAGTCTACTGAGGAAGATCAGAGTGACTGGTCGAAAGCTCTGGGTGAGATAACTTTTTGTGTTGGATCAAAAGTTTTAATTCTAAACATGTAACTACCAACACAGATGGACTCACTGGATCAGTCTACTGAGGAAGACCAGAGTGACTGGTGGAAAGCTCTTGGTGAGAGAACGTTTTGTGTTGGATCAAAAGTTTTAATTCTAAACATGTAACTACCAACACAGATGAACTTTCATGACAGTAACAACACCAATCTAATGTTATCCACAATATGGCTTGTCTTGGATTGTTCTTCTTATTGTAGATAATCTAGCGAATGTGCAAAATGAAATTAAGATGGAATCGTAACTATACGAAAGTTAGCTTTGGAAATGTGACCTCAGCATTAGACTGTACGTACCTCTTTTACTGAAGTCGTCCACCAGTATGATCTCCCTGACCAGACGTGGCGGGGAGCGGTTGACGATACTGTGCAGGGTACGGAGGAGGGTGGACCACGACTCCTCACAGAACGTGATGATAATGGACGTCTGCGGCAGATCGTCCGCGACTTGATTCGTGCGACATCTGAAAATGGTACAGTCGATAATACTACTATCAGTCAGTTTCGAAAGACTATGACTTAGCTGAAAAAACAAACAGGGTGGCTCAGTTCTCAACATACAAAATAATGTCCAAAGTTTAAGTTCATTGGCAGCGGTGGCAGCGCGAACGTTTGTCCTCCCGATCTTCCCACTCTCTGCGCACAGCCTCGGCACTCTCTCGCCAGTGTCTTCAGCTGCTGGTGGCTGATAATAGTTAGAATAGTCGACTTAACAGTCATTAATAGTTGGAACATTAACGTGTACCTTCATATTGGGATGGTCTAGCTCAACAAACTACTGCTCCGGTTATTCCTACACAAACATATCCGTATATATGGTGACCAGCCACTCCAACTCAGTCCTGCCACTTGCTACATAATGTAATTTGACTCAAATTTCATAATCTGATTAGCATCGAAAGATAGGCGTGACCTAAATCTGGTAAGACCGCTAACAATCTATCGCCATTGTTTGTTTTTTATTTAGAAACACAGTGATAAATATAAATGAGCGGACTAAGTGGCTGCGAACTCAAGTTTGGTTGGTGGTGAAGCTAAGGTTCTGAATGTGTGACAGGGGCTTTACAATCGTTCAGAAGTGATGAATAAAAAAAAAACCTTACTTAGTCGGTCTGAGATCAGGAATGGTCCTCTCCACAGAGATAAGATTGCTGACGAACACGTTGAACGACGCCTCGGCAAACATACTCTTCACCATCGCGTCATCTTCCTTCTTAGTTCTCACAGGTCTCCCGTCTTCCCCTGGGCTTCGGGGACTTTTCGGCATCGTTAGAAGGTTCAGTGACTGTACGGTGTGTTTTGGGATGTTCTCTTTCAACTCTGTGGGGTCGTACTGGTCGTGATACGGTCCAGGGGCTTCCTTGTTCACTACGAAAGGCAAGCGAGCGAGAAAGTTGCCAAATCTTGAATTTTTAGTCGTGGGGGCTAGAGACGCAGTGATGTTTGATAACGTCTTTCCTTCATTTTCCTGTGTAATGTTTTCTTGGTGAGAGTTTTCTATGTTATGATTCGTGATGATTTCTGGGATAAAAACGCCATCGTAAGCGGTTTTGCGCGTTGACGCTACCCATGGGGAAGGTGTGTTGTAGAAAAGCTCTGATACAGTAACGCTGGCGTACTCCTTTATGCGTTCATCAAATTGATCAAGAAAACTTGTCTCCTCTTCGTTCTGTTCTTGGTCCGCCATTTTGGCTGGAGCATCATGGGTGATGATGTCACTTTCCGTGTCCACCTTGAACTGTCCTTGTAAGTCAACAACTGGCCTTTCAAGGTCAGTTACATCTTCAGACTTGTCTTTCAATTCTATCTGAATCGGTTCATTGTCGTAGGAATCGTCGAAACTGTAACTTTCCGAATTGAACAATCTGTTCTCACCCCCAGTGTTGGACGCTGTGACCAGAAAACCTTCGTGAACATTCCTGCTCGATTCCAGTTTGAGATTGGGCGGGAAGATCTGTTCTTTCAGCGTCTGAATGAATGAACGAATGAATGAATGAATGAATGAATGAATGAATGAATTTTTTATTTTCATGCCTTGCGACCTTTCTTTGTCGCCCAGCCCATATGGGCTTATAAGACACCAGAACATAAACATATGAGTACAAAAATCATAGAAACATAAATTCAAGTCCAAATCAAATGTCAAACTAGAGACATCAAATAAAGAACTTAATACAACGTTGTACATAACATAATTGGTACATTAAAGTCAAAAGTGCACAAAGTCAACTCAAAAGTACATAAAGTCAACTCAAATGAACTTAAATATATTAAGGAGTCAGGGAAAGAGAAAAACCGAAGGAGAAACAAAACCTGTATTTGCCGATGCTCTGTGTACAGAGCCGCTTCTGTGTGGTACACGTCTCTGATGCCTTCCTTCCCTTCCGGCGGCAGGACGGTGACTTTACCCACCGCATATTCCCTCACCTTTTTGTATTGAAACATATAGTGACAAGACGTGGTGGCGACACACTCAAGTTACACTTATATTCATGACGCCACCAGACAATACGTAATACAAGCAAGCAAAGCACGAGTTTTCATATAGAAGTTGATTACAATAATTAATCGAAAATGAACAAGTGAAACAAATATATAAATACTGACAGGATCGATTTGATTATAACAAAAATGTCTGTACATGTAGTAGCATTTGAGTACTGCACATTGTTGACAGAAAAGTAGAACCTCTTAAAAATAAATGTACCAGAATATCATCTGAAAGATCATCCAAGTCAGTAATAAAGCCAATCAGTGTTTTTAAATTGCCAAAAAGGGCCTCACCTTCTCCTTCAGTCTCTCCGAATCGGACATCTTGACGAAATCGCTGTTTTTCAAGAAGATGAAGATATCCATGAACACCCAGACCATGGAGGTCAGAATAACCACCACAACCGTCCGTTTTCGCACTAGTATAGCCATGATGATGTTGTCCTGATTGTCGTAGCTTCTTTTTCAGTGAATCAAGAAAAAATATTGACTATAGAGCGTCGAATATAACCTTCCTTTGTCGTCTTCTCATCTTGTTGACCGACGTTGAATGTCCAAATATCATCCTCGGCAAGAAACAATCTACGCATCTCTTAAAATTATCATTATGAAAACCCACAACCTAAGTTCGCACAAGGTTTTTCGCTGGATTAAAAATCTCAGCACCCGGATACTAGCTGTATGAATGTGAGTACCAGCGAGACTAGAGTAGTTGGAGAGGTGCTTACATATGTTCTTATCACGTGGCACAAAATGCGTGGGCGAGCAAGCCACGTATTAGTCGTTCTTACTACTGATTACCAATCTGAAGACTCAATATTTTCCCAAGACAGGGTATTAAAGGGGTGTAATATTAAGTGGATCTTTGTTGCAAGAGCTTATCTAATTCTAAGTTATTAAAGTACACAGCAAAACCTTACCAAAATGTGCATTCATTTGGCTTTATTCGCCCCTGTTGTTCTCATATGTCACGTGAATACGATAATGTTTGTATAAGTGTTTGAAGCACCTTCTTGAGAGGAAGATCAGCCGTTACTGGTCAAGTGGTGGTCAAGAGTCTCTTCATACGCACCAACAGGAATCCAGTCAGCATTTGTTTTCTGTGTATATTAATTTATTCATTTATTTGAGCTTAGTCACAAAGACGGGACAAGGGGGGCAGGCAGATGCCTTTTCCACGCCCCCTGTCCAGTTAAAAACAGACAGAAACCTAAAACACAAGTAATATAGAGATAATGAATACAAGTATCATAAGTACTGTTCGATATCAAAGAGAAACTGGTCTCTCTAGGATCGTGTTTTATTCCAAAGATATCTCTGAATAGTTAACATGTTTACAAATCTAGGTGCTGTTCTGTAGCCTCATTTTGCGGGTAGGAATGTATTGCAACTGTAGGCGATACTCTACTGGGCCGCGGGACAGATACGACTAGTTAGAAAACAAGACATACTTTTAATGTACAGTCTAAGATAACCTAGCGGTGTAAAGATTCAGAAATATGCTACATATAGAATAAGTTCTATATGTCTTTCCAAGTTTTTTCCTACCAAACCATAAGCGAATACAAATGATTACTCCAGAAATAAAGGATTACCACATCAAGTCAATTGTCTGTCTTTGACAAGTTGATATTAGATATAAAATAAAACACAAACGTATTATGATAATCTCTATTCCATAATACACTGTCTATTGCACTATAGTCCCTGCTGTAGCCTTCGCCATTACCTCATAAAAGTCTTCATTAAAGTAGAACATTTAATTTATCAGTCTTGTGTCCAGGGTACATTGGTTGTGTCCATTTTTTTTCTTTACAATGTCATCGACTAGATCTTCAGTCGTAAGGCTTCATTGAATGTAGTGTTACAGAATGCACTCTATTGTTATTGTCTCTTTCTGAGAAACGTTCTATCGGAGTGTATGCTAGTTGATCTTTCCTCTGAGAATTGTAACATAAAATGAATTGAATCTGTTTATGGGCTAAAGAGTATAGACTGCTTGTCACATTTATAATGTATATCAATATGTAAACTATATCTTTTGTTATTCTTCTCTTTTTACAGGAAAATGCAACATAATGTTGCTGTATTTCTCTACCTTCCCGACGACTCACATATTGCACTATGGTAAATATTTTATAATCTCCAAGCAGAGATTGGGGGGCAGAATAAGTACGCTTTACCACAAATGGCCTTCTTAGCATCTGCTTGGAGATTAGATATTTTGGCACTTAGCTGGCTTCAAAATATATCTGTGATTGAACAGCAGCAGCGTTCTTGATTCACAACCACATGATTGTTTAACAACAGTCGGCGTTTAGATGACCGTCTGTCATCTTCATCAGGGAATTATTTGTGTCCTTTTCATCTTTTGGGTAGGGAATGTGGACTCTCGCTTCATCAATTCGACTGTTTGTTCTATTCTTTTACATGTATTCCTGGTTAGTGTTTTCCATTGTTTAGTAATATTAGTTTTATTCGTATAAGTGGCGGCGCTAACATAAGTTACGTAACTTGAGCCCGTCGTCACTTTGTCCTGTACCCTTATTTTGTTTATTGTATGCTGAATAAAAAAATTATAACTGGTTCACTGAGCATTGAATCTAGTGGTTGTGAATTGCGAACGCTGCTATTCAACCATTAACCAATCAGATGAAGTTATTCTATATTTTATATATTCTATATTTCAATTAACAGTACGAAGTAAATTATCTGGGGTTTTCTAGTATCTCGTTTCCATCTTTGTCGAAGTATTTTAAGAATTTCCACTTCTGAGTCCTGGACTTTCTTGTGCAGTCTGTAAGGATCGGTCTTCTCTTGTCTCTGGGAACGTCAAGACAAAGGGACGTCTGCACGTGGATAATTTGTCCTTTCTGTCAACATATGGAAAGATATGGATGTAAGTATAAAATAGAAATGTTAGAAACAACATCACTATAGTAATATCAGCATTAAATCAAAATACGAACATTATGTAGACATAGTGTGTTTGTCATGTTATTGATATTGTCATATTGTAATGATACAAGCAACTATCAAAAACAAGGTAATGTTTTTATGTATTTGTCAGACTGTCACTGATATTGTCATATTGTACTGTTAAAAACAACAACGTGTTTGAATGCTTTACATGTTTTATACAGTGTTAAAGATTGTTTTCTGATGTTCCAGTGATTTTTAGCGTTGGGTGGGAGAATTCGTAAGTGTCACAATGTTAGGATTTTCTTTGAATTCGGATATTTGGTTAAAGGCAGGCCTGGCCCCCTGTTGATTCCTTTACAAACTGCAAGCTATCCTCACCCTGGTGTGTTTCCAGATCAACTTCTCGTCCTGTCCCTCACACCAGTCAATGTGAAGCTCCGCGGGTCTTTTCTCCTCCGGAGGGGGGAAGTAGGGTACCAAGCACAGCTCCTCGTGACGCAGGTGGTTCTCCCAGTTATACAGAAAAGACTGGAAGGTTCATGTAACGGGGAAATGCAATATGAGACTCGGAAGTATAGTTTTGGGTGGCTGACTTGTGAGTTCGTGTGCTTCACGTCAAGTCATGACGCAAGTTGTTCTCCCAGTTGTACAGAAAAGACTGGAAGGTGCGTGAAACGGGGAAAAGCAATGTGAGACTCGGAAGTATAGTTTTGTGTGGCTGACCTGTGAGTTTTGAATTGAGGTGTTCAAAAATACATTCTATCCTAGAACTATCGCAGAGTGGAACTCGCTGTCGCCAAGTTCAGTAGGGGCAATATCATTAGATACCAGTAGCTTTAAGCAATGTTTAGAGTTCAACTTCAAGGGTTCAAGGGTTAGGTGCCTGCGAAGCTGGTGTGTTACGCGGTTATACCTGCTATACAGATACAAATACAGATACAGTTATACGGGATGAAATGTTACTCAGGCCGTACACATACCTGTCTATCCCCCAGTCCGTGACACGGGTACAGCGCCAGCGACCCTTCCGTGTTCCCGAGGGTGTCCACACAGAGGTTTGTGCCGAGGTTTCGTAACTGTGCCAACATGAGGGAGGAAAATACAGTTAAGGTTCATCTTTTTCCCATACTGGTGTGCTGCTCCATACAGTAATCTCCAAGCAGATCCTAGGGTGGCAAAAGACAGTATCAAATTGGCCAGGCAGTATCCATTGGCCAGAGAGGGTCCAATACGTCACTCAAGGGTGTTCGCACATACTTGTAGAACGACATAATTTGTTGGAGAGATTAGGTTTATAATGCATTGATGCTTGCGACTTTCTGCAGATCCTTGGGTGGCGTATGCCCAATAGATACTGCCTGGCTGGCCAATCTGCCTTTGCCATCCTAGGATTTGCTTGGAGATTACCATGGTAAATGAACTCATGGTAAACTCATGGTAAATCAACCATACTAATAGAAAAAGTCTATTAACCAGTCTATGTGTGCATGTTACATTCAGACTAGACTACTGTCCATTTTCTAAACGTAGATACCAGCAGGATCATAATTATGTACTTGTTTGTTAGAGTCCCGTAATGGCGGCGTTTATGTAAGTGTAATTACCTTGAGTGCATCGCCATTGCCGTTTTGTATTTTCTTTTATGTGCTTCAATATATAATTAAAAAATATGTAGTTGTTTGTAAGAGTCTCCTAATATACGACAAGTCACGACATCTGGAGAATGTCGTTAGAAGAACGCCTAATTGGCTACAGTCTATCGGAACGTTAATTTGTGATTAGCCGTAACAGCACACGCCATGAATCTTAATGGGGTTTGAAATATTTGCTTTAGCTGTAACGTTATGTGTCCTGTTTTGCTTTCTTTTTTTCTTTGGGATGGGAGGTTTGACTCGCTAGGTTTTTTATATTCTCCAAGCAGAGGTTGTGGGGAATGATCGTTACCTTTCTATATATGGCCGTTTTTTTTGTCCTGATCCCCGTCGGTGGCTAATGGAGCTTCTCTGGCTAATGGATACTGCCTGGCCAATTTGATACTGTCTTTTTGCCACCGAAAGGGATCTGCTTGGAGATTAGGCTTTTTATGTATCCACACTTTTTCAAACGTCTTGTATTTTTTTTTAATTCTAAAAGTGGCTGCAAGATTATAAGTTGTGCCCAACTTGAGTTCGCAGCCACTTAGACCGTGTCCTTTTATTTGTATTTATCACTCTGTTTCTGAATAAAAAAATATTTGCATGTGGAGAGTTGAAGCAGAGGCGATGTAACAACTGATCATAGATACCTCATGAATATGGTACTAAAACAATCTACAGTAGGACGGATACACCCATGGTAATGTACAAAAATGTAAGCATTTTGGGAACTTAGCCAGTTTCCAAGCGTCTTTGCCAACTTTTAACTTGGAAGGCATCCAAGCCAAGTCCAAGTGTTGAGAGAGCAAGACCACGCCACAATTAAGTGGATATTCAATGGAGCTAAGGTCAACATCAATACAGTCCTAATCACAAGTTACGATCGCCTTCCAACTATCAAGGATTACCAAAATAGTTATGCTGAGGTCACATTTTCAAACCGGGGCCCGTCCGGGCAATTTTCGGGGACGAAAAGACACAAAACAGAAATGATTTGCAACAATTGATTATCCGCAAAATCTGTACATATTCCTGATATGAATTGTTCATTTTTCGTAAACAGCCCGGTCGGGCCCCGGCTTGAAAATGTGACCTCAGCATAAGGTCAACGTCAATACAGTCCTACCACAAGTTAAGGTCACCTCAGGCCCAACTATCAAGGATTACCAAAAGGGTAAAGCGTGTTAGCCTAGGTGTAGCTAGCCTGTATTCATTAAAGCTGGTGGATATTATCCTTTCCAATTGCCCCGACTCCGCCCACGATTTGACCTTCGATTGAAATACGAGTGCCTTGCTTCGATTTGACGTATACGTCCGGAAATTGACTACTCTTGAGTGCGGATAAACGTAAATGTACAGTATTAAGGATACAGGACTGTAATAGATACATCTGACCTTCATCTAACCCCGCTCAAATCTGACGTACATAAGAATGAAATATAGAATGATTGGTGGGGCTGGGTGGCGTAGCGGCAGAGTCCACGAATCGGAATCAAGAGGTCCCGGGTTCGCGTCCTGACATGCCACCGATCTTGTGCCCTTGGGAAGGCACTTTACACAACTTTCCTCACTTACCTCTGCGTTGGTGGTGGCATATAATAAGTTGAAATAATTTGAGTGTGCCGTCACCAGGTCCAGTCATAAAATGTTGGAATAAAAAATTGTATAGAATGAAAGAAGCCAATGCATCTACTGGTCGTGTCAATTACTTTGAGCCATGGCATGTCACCGATCTTCTAAGCTACTGCTACTTTAATATAACACACGGACAGAACCCTTACATCAACTGTCGGATTTACTCTCATTCGCTCACCTTGGGTGGCCTTTCTTAATGAAAATGATTATATTACTTATGTAATAAACTTGTGATGAATGTCTGGACGGGCATGCGTCTATTTTTTAATACGTTTGACGCCTATAGGGTTGTTTCCTCTATATCACATAGACCTGTGATTTGAGAATGGGATTTACGTATGATTCAAATTCACTGAGAGTAAGTGACGAGGTATTCCATTCAGTTTTATGAGGATGTTTAATTTGTCTCTTTGTGTTTATGTTGTTTCTATTTTCGTAGTTCCGTGCAGTTAGACATTTTAGGCCAGGAACGCTTTTCTGATTTTAAATGTATTACTTTTTATAATCTCCTGTCCCTATATACGCATTTCAATTTCTTGTTTTGCTTGTATGTATGTTTGTTTGTTTGGTTGTTTGTTTGTTTGGTTGGTTGGTTGGTTGGTTGTTTACCTCTCCCGAAGTCTGGAAGGTGAGGTCAGGAACTCTCATATCCTTATACACTAGTGCAAGAACACGTATTGTTTGTTTATCTCTATGTTTGTTTGTTTGTTTGTTTGTTTGTTTACCTCTCCCGATGCCTGGAAGGTGAGATCAGGAACTCTCATCTCCTTGTACATTAGTGCAGGAACACGTATTGTTTGTGTGTCTCTATGTTTGTTTGTTTCTTTGTTTGTTTACCTCTCCCGATGCCTGGAAGGTGAGGTCAGGTACGCGCATCTCCTTGTAGACGGTGTCCAGGTACCACTGGAAGGACTTACACCCCAGCCTCTCCCTCAGCTGCCTCCGCGCGCTCACGTCTCCGTACGATATATTCATGTCTTTCAGCTGAAAAAAATAACAAATGATAGACTAGAAAGGTAACATTTGCAAAGCAAATGCATAATGTTTACCTTCGCATATTGTCTTCTCTGTTAATTCCTACTCACACACATTCACATATATGATGACAGCAGTCTAAATCCCTCCAAATTTAAAATTGTAACATTATGTAACCCAACACCAGTTATCAGACAGTCTGGTTCAGACAGGTCAGAGGTCACTGTTTGGAGAGGAAGAAGAAGAGGAAACGTAGCAAAAGCAATATATTTTCCTTCGGTCAACATAATGATAGACTAGAAAGGTAACATTTGCCAAGCAAATGCATCATTTTTACCTTCACATGGTCCAAAATAGACTGTTGGGACACTTCACATTTTGAACAGGGTTGATTTAGGAACCATCCATTTGTGTGGGAGGGGGAAAGGTCCATTTTTGGTATGGGGCATGTGGTGAAGCCATGCTGCATTTGCTCCTGAGCAAATGTCGGCCTTTCTAGTTTCAAACTCTTTCTTCTGTTGTGTATTTGTATGTTAACTTGTCTTACTCTTTTATAAATGTATGTTTATGTCACTACATCATGTGTACAATATTTTAGGGACGATTTATCACATTTTATTGTTAATCTGTTGAAGAAGAATTTTAGAATGATGTGAATTTCAACAAAATTCAGGAGTTACTCCTGCGGTGTAACGCAAGTTCAAAGTACCTCTGGGTTGACAGCATAGAAAGCCTTCCTGTGTATTTCGTCCATCCAGACCTGGACCACCCGTAAACTGTTCCTCTGGACGGTCTGTAGTCCGCCGCCGGGGAACCGGTAAGGCTGGGACTGCCGGAAGATGTGACCCACCCGGGAACACGGTAAGATCTCCAGCGTTCCGCCGCACATCCAGGTCTAAGGTAAAAACAAAATGGTGGCTCTATGAAACAAGTTTGAATTGCAATTTTCAACACAAGAAATTGGACTCACCCAAATTTTCGACTGTATAACTCCAGTCTTTGTCAAGGAATGAGCAATCCACCGCTTCCGTGACGTCACGCAGATAACACACGTGACTCCGTGAGCAGTGGATCATAGGTTGCAGAAAGTATGTGGCGCCCCCCGTCTCTGTTGAGGGATGGTTGTAATGCCAGATGATGGCCTCTTTAATCCCTCATGCAAAAAAGTCCGGATTTGCGAAAATGTGGGTAAGTACAATCAATAGCGTCAACGCATATTCTTCCACCATAACTGCAAAATCAGTAAATGAAACAACGCCAGACAAATAGCACAGATCCCAACTGAAACTGATTTTTTTTTCGTATTTCTTGACATACTATCAGCTGCAGTGTTATGTAAAAGGCTTGACAGGAAAAGAAATAAAGGCAGTGGCAGGAAACATTCTTCTTTTTGATGAAGTGTTATTGGAGACGAGCGTTATGGGAGCAGTAGGAATGGGTCTCACGTGGCGCGGTGCAGGCGCCGTATGTCTCACTGTAAGGCCACAGCAAGTAATTTTTATGGATGACATCAGCGCGATTTTGGAGAAAAAAAAGAAATTATGTTGCCCTTTGACAATGGTTAACATGCCGAAAATGGACAAAGATGTCTGTTGCCATGCCGAAACGTGGATGGCAGATAAATATGAAGAAAGGAGACAGGACAAGGTTTTAAGGCCTGAGTCTGCTGAGGTTGTCACCTATAAACTGTACTTGCTGAGTAGTAATATGTCTGTCGCAGGGACATATTACTACCTTGCTGTGGCCTTGTGGAACAGGATGCCGCGAGTTATTACATCAATATACTCACGTGAACACGAGGAAAACGTATTGGGTGATGTTTACCTTTTAATTTAACTACAAGCATAATTCAACTACAAGCTTTCCATGTATTAAATGTTTTCATGGCAAATATGGCACACAGGTTACAAGGGTTCTCATTTTTTGTTAGCTCAAATATTGCAGCAATATTACAGATATTACAGCAATATACCCATGTGAACATGGGAATACGTATTAAATTATGCTTAACTTTTAATCTATCTTCTAGTACTTCATGTATTAAGTGTTTTCATTGAAAATACATCGACTAGTTACAAGTTTTCAATTTTTTGTTGGCTCAAATATTGCTGAACCATGCAGTTCTTGTGATGCCATACGCCGACAGGGTGGCATCAGTTACAGCAGATGGGATGCCCCTGAGATATGTGGTATTTTTGTAATGCTATAATATAAATGATTAGTGAATATACTTTTTAGAGTGAGAAGAAATTAAAGTAGCTCGGGGCGCTAGAATGGGCCTCAAATGACACATGTTAACGACATGTCAGCATAAAATTTAAAAAAATGGTAAAGCAACTGCAAAGAGTGCTTCAAATCGTGTATTAGGTGATACAAGACTACCAAAACACAGAGACTGTGCGCACTACACAAGCGTATGCTGGCTCAGCTTGTAGCAAGCTAAGTAGTCCTAATAATTCCCAAAACCTTTTGTAACATGCTATGTTTGTTGTGTCTGACTTATGTCCTATAGTTGTACTACACGCTTTTAGCATAATATGCCCCACATATTCTTGACATGGCCTCATAATATAACATACCGAATTCTAAGGATGTGCTACCGACACTCTATTGATCTTTCTAACATTTCACATACATCTTCGTAATCATGTAAAACGAGTCTTCAACTGAAAGATAGGCGGATCAAATGTGTGTGGCGCCGAGTGAAATTGTTGCTATAGAGTCATAGCGATTCGTCAACAGTTAAGAGGTGACGTTGCAATAAAGCATACGCCACCATACACTGGGAAACGTTTTAACGACAGTAATGGGAGATAATACAATAGACACCTGCTTTTTGCATGAACGATTTGACAGGGAGTTTTATCCCTATACCAGGGTTAGTCCAATAACCTTAGGAGAGTCCTTCCTACTATAAAATTGCAACATTATGTTACCCAACACCAGTTATCATGGTGAGAGACAGTCTGGTGAGTGTCAGCCTTGTTAGCTTTCGTCCGCTACCCAAGGTCCGCTCCCCGCCAACAAGTGGACCTTGGGTAGCGGACGAAAGCTAACAAGGCTGACACTCAGGCTAGTCTGGTACACGCCATTAACCAGGCCAGGGGTCACTGTTTGGAGAAGAAGAAGAAACTGAGCAAAAACAATATGTTTTCCTTCGGTTAACATGAATATCCTCTATGCTATGTTTCATACCTTGAACGAGAGCTCAAGATTCTCTCCACCCCAGATCTCGAGCCCAGGGTCGTATTGGCCCAGCTCTTCGAAAAACATCTTATGTATGGAGAACAGTCCTCCCGCCATGGTGGGGGATCTGAAGAAAGTTAATAAAACAAACATAACAAGGATAAAAGAATTTCACTCGCTTTCTTAAGATGGGCAAAAGAAAAAAATATTTTTCACTTGCTGGCTGCAACAGGGCATTCATGTTGTACTAACTACACAGATAGAAAATCTGTGCATCTTCTTATTACTCTTTTTCAGACATCTGACCCAATCGCTCAGGAGACATGACTTTATAAAAAGAGTCAGAGTTTTTTATTGTACATTAAGGAAGATGACACAACACAAAGTGGTAGCGCACTCAAGTAACGTTACCACTTACACATAATGAGACAATAAATAAACAAAAACGAATCCAACATAAAGGGAATATAGATGATAATACATATGTAACAGAACGTAATAAAGAACAAAGATGTTGAAAGTTGATATCACCCCCAAGTCACAGACCGAGGTTTGAAGTTACTTGTAGAGTTTACCTGATTGGCGCTTTTTCCGTCTTCCGTCGGGCCACCTCGTAGTCTGGAACAGTGTTCCACCGGAAGTGCATCCGCCAATCGAATCCCCCGCGGGTCATGTGACCGGAAGAAGAATACCTATCAGCAAAGAGAGGAGGAAATAAAAACCATATAGATATTAAATCTCGCTATTCAGGGTTTTTATATGAGTGTGGGCTGTGGCTTGGTATACAATGAGCGCCTGTTGGTAAAATGGCCCTGGTACATATACCCGATAACATGCTCCCATCATTAATTCAGCACCGATTCGGTTAAGGATACCTACTATTACTTCAAGAACTCCTAAGTTTATAATTTAAACACACCTGAAAGTATGCGTAAAGGTAGACGCAATTGAAGAAAATAAACCTTATATGTAAGGGGGCTTCAAGAATGGATTTTGCGGTCTATGAATCTTTTCATAAATAAAGAGATAGTTACATTTTTTCAGTCATGACTAAACTTAACTGATATTGAAACAGATGTTCCACCTGAATGTTCTCATCTCTATGACGTCTATAGAGGGACAGACGACGGCCCGCCTGTTGAGTCTGATCCTGTCCAGGAGCGGCTCCAGCCAGCCCACACCGCACTCCACGTGCGAGTCCAGGAACGTCAGGACGTCTCCAGTAGCGAGCTGGTGGCGGGGACATGGGACACGTTTTATTTGGTTTTCTGTTGGTATTCTCCTTCCATCCACACACAGGCAAACATACCTGTCCTTGGTGCTGAACGCCATCCACACACAGGCAAACATACCTGTCCTTGGTGCTGAACGCCATCCACACACAGGCAAACATACCTGTCCTTGGTGCTGAACGCCATCCACACATAGGCAAACATGCCTGTCCTTGGTGCTGAACGCCATCCACACACAGGTGAACATGCCTGTCCTTGGTGCTGAACGCCCGCCATCCACATACAGGTAAACATGCCTGTCCTTGGTGCTGAACACCATCCACACACAGGTGAACATGCCTGTCCTTGGTGCTGAATACCATCCACACACAGGTAAACATGCCTGTCCTTAGTGCTGAACGCCATCCTTAAACAGGCAAACATGCCTTTCCTTATATACAGTGCTGCCAACCATCAGTACACAGTAACTAGACCTGCCTTTAGTGCTGACCAGCTTTCTCACAAAAGCAACCATGCCTGTCCTTAGTGCTGAACGCCATCATTGCATTATACATAGTGCCTTCGGCACACAGGTGATTAGACTTGTCCTTGGTGCTGAACGCCATCCTCATACAGGTGCACATGCCCGTTCTTACATATAGTGCAATCACCGCTGCCCCCATAGCCGTATACAGTATCAGCACACAGTAACTAGACCTGTCCTTGGTGCTGAACGCCATCCACACACAGGTACACATGCCCGTTCTTACATACATTGCACTTACCGCTGCCCCCGATAGCCGTATATAGTATCAGCACACAGTAACTAGACCTGTCCTTGGTGCTGAACGCCATCCACACACAGGTACACATGCCCATTCTTACATACGGTGCACTTACCGCTACAGTTACCGGTACAATGGCCAAGAGGGTATAGAGTGCTCGCCTTGCATTCGGTAGGTCGTGAGTTAGATCCCTGGCCGAGTCATATCAAAGACTTTAAAAATGGTACATACTGCTTTCTTTGCTTAGCACTCACCACCACCAGTGGACTAATCCCCTACTGTAATGATTGCACTGCGTTGTGACCCAAGGCTGTTTAAACTAGAAAGGCCAATATTTGCTTTGGAGCAAATACAGCGATGGGTTCACCACATTTTACCACATGGCAGGGAAAGAATGAGAAACACAAGGGAAAACAATGATTTACATTGATATAACTATAATATGAAGTAACATACAACTAAAACAACAGTTGGATAGCTATTCCCTACTTTATTGGTTAGGATTTTTAATTGCATAATGCAAACTGTTGATTTTCAAAAAAAAAAAAAAACGTTCATGCCCCGCATTCCAATGCTGGAGCAGAAAAGCTTGAAATACCTACCAAAACACTTGAATAAAGACATACTGTCAGTATGGAAATACTCTGTGCAGGTGTTAATCAAGTTAAATCCCAACAGCCAATCAGCAAGAAATGCTCTGTGCAGGTGGAAATGCTCAGTGTGCAGGTGTTAATCAAGTTAAATTCCAACAGCCAATCAGCAAAAAGTATAGAGGAAAGCTGCATGCCTATTGGTTGATGCCCTGCATTCCATTGTGATGACTCATGCCCAGACGTGGTAAACATGGCACACTAACACAGTAATACATTAGCTATAATACAGCCAAAAAACTCAAATAAAACCATTCTAAAAGCCTGTATCACAAAAAATTTAAAAACGCCTAGGGGTATTTGCCCACTGTACCTCCATACCAAATTTCAGGACCTTAGGCCCTAAAATGAAGAAGCTGAATCCATTTAAAGATATGGCAGGAGGAGGAGGAGAAGGAGGAGGAGAAGAAACATCAGAAAAAGCAATATGGTTTCACCACACCACTTCGTGGTGTGGTGAACCCATAAAAAAGAAAGTACCCTATGCGTCACTTGATGCGGGAAGGCTCTTTAACTTTGAACTCACCGCTGCCCCCCGTAACCGTGCCCTGATCAGTCCCGCTCTCTCGGGAAGATGGATGATCTTGACCTTGGGAAACCTCTTCATGTAGTCGTCAAGTTTCTTTTTCAGGTGATCTGAAGTCATAAATATGAAATATGAAAACATTACAGTTGCAAATGTTCAGGTTGAAATTCTGTAACCCATGAATGCCTTAATTACATCTATAATTTTTTCAGACTTTTTAAAGACTGTAGTAGGCGTCGGTGTCGCAACAGTTAGAGCGTTGGACTCAGAACCAATAGGTCCCGGGTTCGATACTCACCGTGGCCCGACGTTGTGCCCTTGGGAAAGGCACTTTACACTACCTTCCCCACCTGTACGGCGGAGCGACACCCACCGAGCCTCTTCGGCTAATCTGTCAAAATGTGTGCCATAAACACACTACGGATTTGGTGCGCCAACGTGTCAACATCTGCACTTTTCCCACCAAACACCGTAATTTTTTTTCTTAAGACTATTTACCTACCCCTCGAGCTTGCATCGTCCACCAGGATGATTTCCTTGATGAGCTGTGGCGGTGACCGGTTGAGGACGCTGTGGACAGTCCGGAGTAGGGTGGACCAGGACTCCTCACAGAAACAGATGACCACACTCGTGCTGGGCAGATCGTCTCCCACCAGACTCGTGTTACAACTGAACATGTGAGAGAACCGTGTTCAGAATTTGACGTGCAGAAACAAACGTATAATATTGTTTATTGTTTGTTTATTGTTTTGTTTATTAGACCGATCTCCATTAGTTTGTACAGTTGCCATACATACTATTCTTCCTGGAGTCGTTAACTACAAACTACAATCATAACAACATGGTAAGGCTTAACTACAAACTACATAAACACACACAACATGCAAGTAGTACCGAGAGGTCAGAGGTCTTAAAAATATAAAAATCAATTTTTTTCCAACTCAAAAATAAACTAACTCACCAGAATTTTCGACCGAATTTCTCGAAATCTCGAAGATTCCGGTGACTCAATTTCGTCTTGAGTTGTAGACCAAACTAAATTTTTTAATCAATTTTCATTAACGTTAACTCAGCTGAGCTTTCAAGATAATACAGAGACAAACGCACTGATATGTGAATATTTCCATACTCACAATATGCATCCTGACTTTCCCTGTTTTTATTCTCTCTCAGACTATATGCGTTTCCGATGCTTTCTAGAGTTAAAACCTGAGCCACCACTAATGGAGGCAACACAAAAGGAAATTGACAACCAGCGACTATCTACATACGGGAGAATATCCTGTTCGGGTGAAAGCTGCTCGTGTTGAAACTAGCTTTTCGGCACCGGGGTGTTTTGAGCTGCCTTTGTTGAGAACAGGTTCTCCATTCTTTGTGGTTTGTTCGCGACATGCATATTTGATCAGGCTCTTTAGTACGTGGAGACTGTTTACCGAGTCTCTCGCTATTGTCGGTTGTACAGCGATTTCTAAAGATTTTGTCCCGGATATAGCTAGCTAGATAGTCTATCGTGGACTGAGCTGGAGAAGAAGAGGAAACTGAGCAAAAACAATATGTTTTCCTTCGGTAAACATAAATATTAGAACGATGTTTCTTCTAGCAATTTTGTTGTTCATCACTGTCTAAACAATATATACCTAGTGAATGTGCATGCTTTATCGTGAAAGATTCAATATGCAGTTGATCGTATTCCTGGTATGATAGATAATTTAAAAAGGCTCAGTACACATTAAACAGAACCCTACGTTCATAAGACACTCATAAATTGATTATGAATATGCTTTAACGCGAAAGAATCTATCTGCAGTTGATCGTAATTCTCGTATGATAGATAATGGCAAAAGGCTTCCACCTGAGCACATTAAACAGAGCCCTACGTTCATGACACACTCATAAATATATAGTCTCCTGGGCACATCTGGGTCCTCACAAAGCGGACTAGTAGCGATGTAATTATCTCTAATGCTGCGACCTTGCCATAGCTCAACTGAACCGGATTGTCAAACCTGACCGGTCGGACCTTTCATGTTAAATCGGGTCTTGTACACTGCATTGCAGTAAGTGGCTTTTTACTAACAAGATTGGGGCATTTTCAAATCATATTTGTATCTATGAAAACATATCATAAAGAATATTGATAATTCTAGGAATCAGGGATGGCTTTTGGAATTCTTCAAGCGTATATTATATATCAAATAGCACTGACAATGTTTTTACTAAGAGAATTGGGGCATCTTAAATCATAATAGTATCTATGGAAACATAACATAAAGCAATATTGATAATTCTAGGAATCGGCAGTAGCTTTTTTAGTTCTTCAAAGGATTTGCCAGTGCTGTTTACTCAAAGAAGAATAGATGTCACTGACAATGTATCAACAAGATTGGGGCATCTTTAAATCATATTAGTATCTATAAAAACATAACATAAAGCAATATTCATAATTCCAGGAATCAAGAACGGCTTGTTGAATTCTTCAAGCAGATTTGCCGGTGCTGTTTACTCAAAGAAGAATAAATGTCGCTGACAATATTTCCGCAACACAATGAGAGGCGTTTTAGATCTGCTAACAAAATTGGGGCATCTTAATAGCATCTATGACGACAGAAGTAATTCTAGGAATCAGCGTTGATTTTTTTTATTCTTCAAACGGATCTGCCAGTGATGTTTTACTCTCCAAGCAGAGGTTGTGGGGGAATGATCGTTACCTTTTTATATATGGCCGTTTTTTTTTGTCCTGACCCCCACCCGTCGGTGGCCGCGGACCTTCTCTGGCTAATGGATACTGCCTGGCCAATTTGATACTGTCTTTTTGCCACCGAGGGGTATCTGCTTGGAGATTAGTGATGTTTACTCAAAGAGTAGGTGGCACTGACAACTGTCTGAGATTCTTGTCAAGTATTTTAATTGTTTTTTTAGCATCTGGGAACACCTTAGAGAGGAAAGACATTTTACTCGCAGTGGGTTAAACTCGTAAAGATCTCGATAGAGCCTATACCTTTTAACAGATTTAGAGCTAATCATCAGAGCTTAGGAACCATCAATTCAGGAGAATTATCCAGAGTACTCATAGCATCTGCTGAGCTTAATCAGTCATCTATAGCCTAATAACGCACGTGTTCTGAATTGGCATTTTACAACAAGAGTTCAGAAACATCCGTGAGATATTTAGAGCTTTTGTAAATGTCTTGTTTTATCCCAAATATCTTCGTCTTCCCAAGATCTACCCACATACCAAATCACAATGCTTATCCAGACCTTCTGTGTATAAGCAAGTCAGGATATGGCAATGTTAAGAGTAAGTGATATGTCAAACTAAAACAATACTGATTTATTTGATAAATACTTGTACATAGGTTGATTAATTTTTTTATCCTTTGTCTATTTCCATGTATTGTTGTAGAAAACCTTACGAAAGTCGTCGTACTTTTGTTGTGCCAAAAAAAAGAAGATTGAATCATTGTAACTAGAAAGCAGGGTTTGGGATTTGGGTTATTTTTGGCGTTTTTAAGGCTTTTTTTGTATCGGGGTTTCTTCTTTTTGCACTAGAATTTTTTTGTTGAGTAAGCTGAAAAAATTCCAGTGTAAAAAAGAAACTCCGATAAAAAAGCCCAAAACACGCCAAAATAACCCAAAACCCAAACTTCTGCATGGAGAGTAGTATCATTGTACCTGTAAAATGTCCACACGCCACCCGCTATCAGTTATTACGTTAGATATGTACCAGATACAGGACAGCCGCCCAAATTAGATTTCCCATTACCACCCCATCAAAGTTTCCTTTGTGTGTAGCGAGGCACGACTCTCTGGTGTGATTTCTTCTCCATTTTGTACCCACCAGGTGTTTTCGGCTCCTCTCCACATGGATCCTTTCATCCGGTACTGGGCCTAGGGAAATGTTGATTGTGTTTCCTGACAGACCCTAGGCTTTTTAGGATTGACTGCTGGAAAAGCAGCAAAATGTATCTTCTCACATCTGAATTCTAAACCCTCTGAACCGTTATTTCGTTCATTTTAAGCTTTTATTAATCACGAGTATACCGGGTAAAATATTTGGCCCTTCCCCACTTGCAAACGGATAGAAAGGCCCAAGAGACAGCCTGATCCACTTTCGTTTTACATTGCTTAACTGTATTGATGACTTCAGCCGAAATTTAAAAAAAAAACGGGGGGAATACTACCTAGATACTCTATTTTTGCAGAACTGAAATCGGAAACACAGCCTTGTTTCTTTATGCCTAACCAATTTTATGTGCGCAGTTTTTTTGCTTCATCAAATATCTCTGGGGTGAGGGACGCTATTCCGAAATATTCCTAGCTTCAGGCTAGAATTATTTCTGCACGAAATAAAATGCAGTTTCTGCTATCATCTTTCATAGCAGATGAACAAAAAGTCCAGACTTTAAGATCATTCTTATCACACAAACAATGACACCTAAAAGCTATGATAATATTGTATGGTCCCTGTTTTCAATTGCAGCATTCAATACAGTAGCAGACTATTATTTAAGCTGCCAGCAAGGTCTTTAGTAAAACGTTTTTGCGGCAAATATTTGCCCCTCTTTGTAATTGTGTACCTTTAAACCAAAGACTTGACACAGAGACTGCTAAATATGTCCGTGAGTGGATAGAATGTCATTGTGAATAAAAGCTCAGGCGGTCAATACGCTGTGAAACGCGTAAGACAAGTGTACGGTACTCAAACACGGTGATGTTTGAACAACAGAAGTCAGTCACAGACGTGTTAGCAACTTAAGAATCAATCAACGGCACGGAGAGGCCCCTTTCTCTGTCTGACAACGTTGACCCTCGTCCTGTTGGCATATTTTGAAATAATTTAATATCTTAATCAGAAGAGCGGTTATACCGGCTATACAGATACAGGTACAGAACCTTTTTTTAGCTTAAATAGAACGACACCCCCTTGTATAAGGCGATACCCCGGAAATTTATGGGATGTCAGAGAGAGCTATAAATACCTTCTGCTCGCCTATGATTAAATTTGTGGAAATTCAATAATTCAGATCAATACAAATTGAATGTAAGGCCGACTTGAGACTTCAGTCTTATTAGATATGGGGGCAAACTAGTTATCCCATTGGAGAAAATCAAATCTGACTAACCCCATAAACTATCTTCCATCCTTCCGTCTGCATCCCAAGAGGTACAGTGGTAGGATTACAAAGTCCTATAATGTCACACATTCAGAACCTTCCCCCGATCAATCAACCAAGCAAGGTTCTGTATCTGCGTCTGTATAGCTGGTATAACCGCCCTTTGGCGTAACATACCAGCTTCGCAGGCACGCGGCGCTGCGGCAGCTGGCTACATTACACCGAACGACTTGTTACACCTAACCCTTGAACATCTAAATTTAGACATTGTTTAAAGCTATCTAATGATAATGCCCCTTGGTAGGTGGGCGGTAGGTTGGGATCAGTTTGACTAGATTTAGACCACGCCTGCCTTTCCATTAAATTTGAGTTAGATTTGAGTCAAATTTGACTGCGGACCTACTAAAAGTCCATTCCTTCTAAACGCGTTTCTATTTCTATGAGTTTCTTCAGCGTTGTGATCGGACGACCAGTCCTACTTTATTTCGAAAACTGAGATACTGCTGACGACTTCCACTTGTCACAAAACAAAGAAACAACGTTCTAAGATGTAAACAAACCCCACCAGAAGTGCTGTGTACTTACCCCTCCGCGCGCACATCCGGGAGAGACCGCTCGATGGAAATCTGATCGCTGACGTGTTGGTTGAAGGAGGCGATCTTGAAAGCCTCCTCCACTTTCTCGATGTCGTCGTCTATAATCCCTTCCCCGTTCTCCCCTGGAGCGACCGGATCTCTGGGCATCGTGGTGACGTCCAGGCTCCGAACAACATGCATCGGGACGGTGTCGGCGTCTTGGGGACTTTCTAGGTCTTTGTCTTTTACAGTTGACCCGTCAAGCTTACGTCCAGACGTGTTTTCTTGGTTGACAGTACTGGTGGTTTTACTTGTAGACGTGTAGTGGCTTTTACTAGACGACGTTTTGGTTGTTGGTGTTTCGCCATCTGGTTGTTTTCCTAGCGCTGTCGTGAGATCGTTCAGCAGTGTCCTCTGTGCGAACTCGAGACCTCTGGTCCTGCGTGAGATTCTGCGGATGTCTTTCTTCAACACCACGTTCTCAGAATGAAGGTCTAACGCGTTGCTTGATTGGAAAGTTCTAGAGAAGTTTGACGCTTTAGTCTGATTCATGACTCTTCGGTGGTACTTTTCCTCTTCCTCCATCAACGCGTCCATTTTCTTCTGCATCCTTCTTTCCATCTTTCCCTGCAGGACGTATTCTCGGATACCTTTCTGAGAGAGAGATCCCATGTGCAGCTCCACAAACTTGTGCTTTGAGGGGTCCTTGAACATGACATAGAACATGAGGAATACGATGTGCATGGCGAGCCAGACTATTGAAGTCATAAACACGATACTGGCATAGCTGGTCGTGCGTCCTCGCGAAGGCATAGTTGTAGTTACTTCCTCAGCCACAGAAAGTTCAAGAAAAACTGAAAGATAGGAAGAAACAACTGAAAGATAGAACTGAAATTCAGGAAATTATACGTAGAACACCTAGCTTTGGTTAGTCAGCCCATTTGTTTGGTACTGAAAAATATTGTCTTTACAAAACGTGCTAACTACATGGGATAACTATAGGTAGAAAATTCTATCCCATTATACCACAAAATGTTTTCTATATGGTTCTCTATATGGTGAATTAATGGGATAACACCCCTGTTATTCCATTAACCTGGGATATATAGCCAGACGATAAAAGACAGAGAAGTTGGGCTGCCATTTTGACTCGAAGCCAGGGACACCTGAACTCGGCATAAGTCAAGTCGAGTAAGTCAATTGATCAGCACGTTTTTTTACAGTTAAACACTTTTCAGTACTAAATAAATGGGATAGATATTCAGTTCTGAACACTTGGTACGCGCTGAGTTTTGTCTGATCTGACAGTTAGTTGACATAATTTTTGTTTATCGAAACCTGATCTTTTGGCTCGTTAATCTGTATGTTTCGGCGTCCAGAGTGGCATATCCTAACCTTCGGTCAGACACGGCGGCTAGGAAAACCTAGCCTGGGTACCAAACCTTTGGTCGGCTTGGCGGTAATTTTTCGGCCCCGGCCTTTACCGAGCACAGGCCTGGTTTGGCGGCCCGAAACACTCTCAGCGCCGAAGAGATAGCGCTGAGCGCACGGCGGCCTGGTAACGAATGAATGTCTTTATTTCAGGTATTTCACCCATAGGAAACAACGGTACAAACATAAAAACACAAACTATACATACAGCATATTATATACATTTTTAAAAAAGGAATTTCTGTACTGACAATCTGACATCAGAAGACATTGCTGTTGTCGGTAACCAGGCTATTATAAACGATCATTCCCCCACAACCTCTGCTTGGAGAGTAAAGGAAAACGTCGCGTGAGTCGGAAACACAAATGTTTTGAGTTTAGCCGATCTGGTGGCCTGCTCGCGCGCTCTGTAATACAAAGAAATGAGTGTCTGTTTTTACAATCCTCCGGGATCAAGCAGCAAAAAAGTAACCATAGCGGCTAAACCCTTATGGCGTCTGCCAGCTTCTTTTTTTTCAGTCCAATGTTATCCATATGCATATCAAATGCTAGGGGAAAATGTTGTTTCCGATTTCTGTCACGAAAAAAAATAGGTTTGGTAGGTAGGGATTCTCTTTTTTTTCTCTTCCTTTTTAAGGTTCGAGTGAAGTGATTCAATAAATACAGTTTAACAATGTAAAACTGAAGCAGCTTTACTCTCCAAGCAGAGGTTTGTGTTTGGGGTTATTTTTGGCATGTTTTTAGGTTTTTTTTATCGGGGTTTCTCTTTTGCACTGGAATTTTTCCTCACCCAAAAAATGGGAAAAAAATTCAGTGAAAAAATTCAGTGCATAAGAGAAATCCCGATAAAAAAAGCCTAAAAACACGCTAAAAATAACCCCAAACCCAAACCTCTGCTTGGAGAGTATAGCGCCTCAGGATCAGGGCTGTCCTCCCGTTTGCTTGTGGGGAAGAGACAGATACCAATTTTTCACCCGATTAACTAAAAATAAATGTGCTTATGAAAATGAGAAATAAAGTTTCTTGCCTTGCCTTGCCTTGCCTTGCCGGTCCCAAAAAGGGCTATGGTCGGTGAGGTTTTGCAAGATTTGGTATGGAAGCCGGAAACACAACATTTTTTCGTAACTAGGCCTTTGACTCCATGTTACTATTGGGCAGCACGTACTGTTATATTGCATGCATGCGCCTGCATTCTACTCAATTGTTGTCACTACCTACCTGGTAGTATAGTGTGTGCAAGAGATCCGGGGACGTCTTGTTCCTTCGTCGCTGTTTTAGTCGCCCTATCCAGTCACTTCGCTCACTTTTCGGCCTCCTGGTGTCGCTATAACTGTCGGTATTTACTCCCCAAACACCCCGCTATCTCTCCGCGAAACAGTTACTCAGCGAAAAGCATGACATGCCTCACGAGCTCAGCTAACAGGTAAGACTGGAGCACACACACACTGTCACTGCGCCAGGGGAGCGAAACGGTCCAATGAAAATGAAGTACACTGCGGGGATTCGTATCGTCAGCAACCAACCAACCACAGCGAAGCTTACAACCCCATTCATGCCAAGCTTTACTGTTTGAGTTAAGGCAGCTGTTTTCTTCTAGATCCGGGATCGATGTAAGCCTTGAGCAAGAAGGAAAGAATACCTTTTTTGCATGTTTTTTCCCCTCAATACTTATATAACAGTACGTACGTTCAAAATGGGTCAGACGTAAAGCCCCGTAACATGGGCTTACGTTTCCAGGTCACCTGTTAATCTGTAGTGACGTCATGAGTGCGCTACGGGGGTGAAGTAGTGAGCAACTAATCTCCAAGCAGATCATACGGTGGCAAGGCAGGATCCATTAGCCAGAGGAGTGTCCATTAGGCTGATTAGCCACCGAAGCTAATGGACACTCCTCTGGCCAATGGATACTGCCTTGCCACCGTATGATCTGCTTGGAGATTAGTAAGCAACTCTGGCCAATGGATACTGCCTGGCCAATTTGATACTGTCTTACGCCACCCTAGATCTGCTTGGAGATTACTATAAATGGACACTACTTTCGCCATTGGATATTGTCTTGCCACCGTATGATCTGCTTGGAGATTAGTAAGCAACGTTATAAGGTATAAAACACGTACGCAAAAAATCATCTATCTTCGTTTTAATACGGAAGGGTCACCAACTCTAGCGTGGTGTGTGCGGTTGGAAGAGAATAAAATCTTCCACCCTCCCCGCTCTGCAATTCTGTAAAATATTGAATAACCAAACCAGTATAATCTCCAAGCAGATCCTAGGGTGACAAAAGACAGTATCCTTTGGCCAAACGGCGTATGGACTTTCTCTGACCAATGGACACTCTCTTTTGCCACCCTAGGATCTGCTTGGAGATTAAACCAACATACAACCAATAAGATGTGTTATTTCCATAGTAACGGACATATCCGCTCCCGTGTTTATATAATACGCTTTGCACTTTGTGTATGAAATATCTGACTGTTCATGCATAACTTCCCCTACTCAGTCATGACTCAGAAACATAACATTTTTTCTTCTTCTTCATTTTTTCTTTTAAATGTAATATTTGAGCTATGAAAAAATATGTATTTCTGTATCCCGAAACAAAAACATTTATTTTCCTTAGGTCTAATGTACCGATTGGTTTTGACAGCTGTCCTCAGGAGGTTTCCACTTAAGCGGTTTTTGTTTGTTTTCCTTTGATCATCATGATCCGGTTTCAAAGTCCTGGGTTTAAATAGTTTCTCTTTGTGGAAACAATGGGGCTGTCGGTAGGATGAGTACTCTCCAAGCAGAGGTTTGGGTTTGGGGTTATTTTTAGCGTGTTTTTAGGCAGAGGTTTGGGGTTATTCTTAGCGTGTTTTTAGGCAGAGGTTTGGGGTTATTTTTAGCGTGTTTTTAGGCAGAGGTTTGGGGCTATTCTTAGCGTGTTTTTAGGCAGAGGTTTGGGTTTGGGGTTATTTTTAGCGTGTTTTAGGCAGAGGTTTGGGGTTATTCTTAGCGTGTTTTTAGGCAGAGGTTTGGGGTTATTTTTAGCGTGTTTTTAGGCTAAAAAAACAGCCTAAAAACACGCTAAAATAACCCCAAACCCAAACCTCTGATTGGAGAGTAATGACCACGTAGATTACATAATAAAAAAATGTCATATAAGCTTTATTGTACATTCAAGCCCTATTGGGCTAAGTACAGGTGAACAGATGAAAGGGTAATTTACAAGTAGTGCAAATAGCACTAAAACTACACTAATGCAAAGGTTCAGCTTCTTCTCGTTTCTTAGTGATGTCAAAAATATAATTTGAGATGTGTTTGTTTAAGACAGGATGATCAAAGCGCCTAACAAAGATGAAGGACTTTCAATATTAGTCAAGTATTGGAAATACGGGAACGTACTTGAAATATATCTAAACAGATCATTTCTATCATTACTATATAAAGGAAAATTTTTTTGCCAAACTTTTTTTATTCACACGCTCGCGTCAGTTATGGGGCTCCTAGAGGATGTCATCCAAATAATAAAGTCAACATGGCCTTATAATTAGCTGAGGGGCAGGAACACAAAGCATAGACATAAAGGGAAATGCATAACGTGCTATCCGAAGTCAAACGTTTTGCATGGATCATCAGGCGTAGTTTCAACTTTGACCCTTATTAAGTTGACCTCTGACCTCCTGATAAGGCGCGCAAGGACTCAAAGTTCACAAAAGTCGTCCGATCCGGTTTTACCGTAATTACGCAGAGAAAAAAAACATCCTAAGAAACAGGTAAGTTACTGTTAGCCAGGTATTTTGATATGGAGTATGAGATTTGGAGCTATGGAGTCATTTCCGTGGAAAAAGTTTCACAGTAAAGCGATGAACACTTAAAATTTAAATTTAAGGCTTTTTTTGGATGTGAACATGGGTGAAAACTAAGGGGGAGGGGCGAAAAGTAAACATAGGTGCGGCCCGACGGCACCTGCATAAAATTAGGTCAAAACAGGCAAAGTGGCCGTTTTGGAGGGACTAAATATACTTGAAGATAAACTGGACTTTAAAAATTATACTTGTACGGCAGTAAGAACTGATAGTTAAGTTGATAGTTGTAATATTCCATGTGTGTGGGACACAACACCAGTTGCCTGTGTCCCACGTGTATTGAACAGTAAATCAAATCAAATACAATCAGAGATTTCAAAATTTCCTCGAGAAATATTTAAGAGGCTACATTTATATGCATGTGTGTTAAATAGATTTAGTGATTAGTATTTATATAGTTTCGCAGTACTAACTTTTGTAACTGCTTAACAGCATTTCATCAGTTTAAGAGGAACATTTCATTTTATGAAAGATTTGTTTGTTCTTTTCTCACTAGACTGAACATGGCAACAGCAGGACCTGGGTCTCCCACCGGAGTTGGTCAGAACTGCCATGACGGGTCTCCCATCAAAGTTTCCCAGGCTGACTGCGGCAGCAAAACAAGTGATGCTGAAGACCAGATGGCAGCACAAAAAGTCAACTTGAAGAACGCTGGTGTAAAACCCTTCAGATGTGGGAAGTGTGGATACAGGACAACTCAAAAGTCTGACTTGTCCAGACATATGAAGATCCATACAGGAGAAAAACCCTACAAGTGTGGGCAGTGTGGATACAGGACAGCTTCAAAATCTGACTTGTCCCGACATATGAGAACCCATACAGGAGAAAAACCCTACAAGTGTGACCAGTGTGACTATTCTGCTGCACAGAAATGCACTTTACAGGACCATATAGCAACACACACTGGCAAGAAACCTTACATGTGTGGGGAGTGTGGGCTCAGGGTAACTCAGAAGTATGACTTATACCGACATATGAGGACCCATACAGGCGAAAAACCCTACAAGTGTGACCAGTGTGACTATTCTGCTGCACAGAAATGCACCTTAGATGACCACATTTTAGCAACACACACCGGTGAGAAACCCTACATGTGTGGGGGATGTGGGTTTAGGACTGCTCGCAAGTCTGCTTTAATCATACACATGAGATTGCATACAGGGGAAAAACCCTACAAATGTGATCAGTGTGACTATTCTGCTAAATGCAAAACTAATCTGAAACAACATAAAGTAAATCACAAAAGTAAAAAACCCTTCACGTGTGGAGAGTGTGGGTACGGGACATCTACCAGGGGTAACTTAACCCGACATATGAGAACTCATACAGGAGAAAAACCCTACAAGTGTGATCAGTGTGACTATTCTGCTGTAAGTTTATCCAATTTGAATCTCCATTTAATAACTCATACTGGTGAGAAGCCCTACCTGTGTGGGGAGTGTGGGTACAGGGCAGCTCGAAAGTCAACTCTGACTGAACACATGAGAAAACATACAGGAGAAAGGCCCTTCAAGTGTGACAAGTGTGATTATTCTGCAGCACATAAGTCAACCTTGTCAACTCACGTCAAAGCAAAACACAAGTGAAACAAGACTGGCAATGAAAACATACATTGCCATGGCGACGGCGGTTGCTGTTAAGGTTATTGTTTGCATGGCACTGCCATCATTTCATGATTTTGAGGACTTAGTACCTGTAAGTACTATAAGTCTAGACAGATACAGTGCACTCCCTGAGTGTATAGTGAACGAGCCCCGGGGTCACAGAAAGTAGGGCCATCCGGGGCAGAGAGGTCTTCCCAAGGGTTTCCAGGAATGTGGGCATAGATGTGGGTCAGAGACATGCCTTTGGACATTCCATTCCTGTGGACAAAATGCCTGTACCATTCCTAGAATTCTTGCAAACTGCACACAATACTGTACCATTAGGCTCCTCCCTGAGACATCACCAAAAACCTAAGTTACAGGTGTGGTGAGTGTGAATACAAGACAGCTCACACTAATACCTAATTAAACATTGTGTTGGATCAAAGCTTAAAATTTTACAATAAATGCAAAACTACATTTATTGTAAAATTCCAACGGTGCCTTATCCTGTCAGTAACCAACAGGTTTCAGGATAATTTTGATACATGTACATGGTCTTCGGTTTGCAGATGTGATTCATGTGTAGCTTTAAGACCTCGCTGACTGGAAATCTGAGTTATAGGTCCACGCTTTTGTAATTATTATGTGTACTATGCATAATGTATAATGCAATGTTGAATTCAATGTTTTTTTTACTGATGTACATTTGGGGCGGGAGCTGGAAAAGGTGCTTCACCCGTTCTCCCTCCCCTTCCACGTTATCTGGTGGAAATTTGATAAATAAAAAAAAAACTGTTCATTAGTATATGTGTCATGTTGTTTTCTGTAGCATTTGTGTGTGTTTGTGGTGTAACAGCATACCTCAAGCTTTCAATGTCTGATACATGTATTTGGAAAGATGAGAAGGAAAAGGAGGTTTTGTTTGGTTTCAAATTGACAGGTTAAACAATTCTGAATTGTAGTCTAACAGTTTATTTTCTACATTGAACAATACAAAACGTATATACTCCACCAGAGATACAAAATGCCCTTGAGTTAAGTATTAAAACAGAGACAAGTTTGGGTTGGGGAAAAAAATCCTACACATTAATTTCATTATGGTAGTCACTTATGAGAAAAACTGGGCATGTTTTTTGGTAACATCTTTCTGTCTTTGTTTTCTATGCAGCTTCTGCAGGATATTATCTACAAAGATGGGAGGATAACAGGATTCCAACTCAAAGATTCTACTTATTTTTCCTTGTCTCAGCTCTGAGGGATTTTCACATTACACTCTTCATCTGTCTCTATTCCAATCTCCTCCTGAAATATATGAAAACAGAAAATTCCTGTCAAACTTTTAATGTACAAACAAAACTGACATAATTTTATCATGTTTGCTTTTTGATATTGCAGCAGCAACACCTAAACATTGGATATGAAAGCCCCTGGTTGTTGAACAAAGAACCTTCTTATACAAAACTGACATTTGATAATGTGAGAAAATTATCAATAAGTGAATGCAACTAAGCAACATCATCAATATCATACTCACAAAAAGATCCTTCTTTTTCTTGGGATATCCTTCCAAGATGGCATCCAGCATGTCTGTGGCCTATGATAAGTATGAGGAACATATTCAGACTTATGTATGGATACAGGCATGCGACAATTAAAAGCATGAAACAAAGAATATTAGGAACTTAAGCTCACCATTCTCTTTCTCTTACGCCACTGCTTGACCATTGCTTCATGTTCCTTGTACACCTAGAGACAGAAGTAAAATAAACGATTCACTAACGGGACTTACATTTTTGTATTAATTTGAATTTTATTTACTTATTTATTGGGTTCCCATGACCACCACCCCCTCAACTGGACCTCTGGGAAGAGCGGCTAAGGCCGACAGGACATTTCCAGTATAAATAAATGGTATGGATTGATTGATACAGTTTTTGCTAATAAAATGGATTGTTGTTTTACTACAAGATAAACTATTGAAGAGGTGGAAGAAGAATTTACAGAAAATGAAAAATATCCCACACCTTTTCTTTTTCTTCCTTAGTGATGGTTTTCCCACCTGACTTCAGCTTGGCTAGTTTCTCCTGGTACTGGGAACACTGAGGTGAGAAAAACAGTGTTGGTGTTAGTTATGAACATTGTAACTAGAAAGGTAACATTTGCATTTAGCATGTGGTCTGCTCTGTAAATTCTTACTTGAAATACATTCATATATATGGTCAGACAGGAGTCTACACCCCTCCAGCTATAAAATTGCAACATGATTAACCCAACACTAGTTACCATGGTGACAGACTTCTGGTTCATTGAAAAAGTATTTAAAACAACTGACCTTCTTCGTGACTTCAGCCAGTTGAGCCTTGGCCTCTTGAGTGGTCATTGAGCTGGTCAAATCTCTCAGCTCTACAAGGAGGAATCAAGTGAAGTAAATTAAAATAGGGTACAAAAATTCCATAAACAAATACAGTACAAGTACAGTTAGGGAATAACCTTGTCCTTGAAATGCAGTTAAAAGAAAATAAATACATAGACTGCAATGTTCAAATCATTACATAATCCATGGAATTTTTGAAGCACTGTCCTAAACTTCAATACTGTTGGCATCCTGTAGTGTTGGATCTATTTCTAATGTATATTCCATAACCCTGAAAAGATGGGGAACAACAGACGATAAACTGGTGAGAGAGAGAGAGAGAGAGAGAGAGAGAGAGAGAGAGAGAGAGAGAGAGATTCCAACAGGGTTCTTCTGGTTTCCCTATCCTTGAAATCTTATCATGATAGTCGTAAATGTCTGAATGTAACACAGATTGACAGTTACCAGCCTCCCTCTTCTTGTAGGCTGCCTGTGAGGTGTGGACCTTGTCTGTCAGTTCTGTAATCTGCTGGTCCATCGCTTTCATCTCTGTGTCTTTCACCTCAGGGAAAACACTCTGTGCAACAAGAACAAACTTGCTGGAAAAATTCAATGCCATTGAATGCCATCGAATCATTGCATCAATGGTCACATATCTTCTTTTCATACATAATGCAATCATATACATGTACATCAAATACGCATAGACAATACTCATTTTCACTTGAGTTAAGTAAAGAAAGTCTTGTAGAGTGCTTTTCCCAAGGGCACCAGATTGGTGGCATGTCTGGACTTGAACCCGGGACCTCTTGGTTCCGAGTCGAGCACTCTGCTGTTATGCCACACGAACCCCTTGTAGTTGTTTTTAAAAGTCACTTGTAAAAAAGTAAAGTAAAAAAATAATAAAACAAATGCCAAACCTGGTCTGCACAGTACACCTTCTGTTTGCCATACACTTTTTCTTTGATCTTTCCCTTCTGAGCCAGCTCCTCCAGTACCCTGGTCACTGCCTGTAGGGACGTACAAACATCGATATCATCACTTTAATTCCTGTGTAGTGTCAACTATATGGAGGTCAATATCATAGTATCTTTAGTACCATAATGTTCTTTATCTTTGGTATCTTAATATATTTTTACATATCTATCTATAATAATAAATATAATAGAATATAATACCCCCCTTATGTGTATTCCAGTGTTTTAATGTTTATTCATGCTAGATTTCACCCTCATCTTTTATGTGTATTCTGATGTATTCATGTGTATCCAGGTGCATTGCAGTAGATTTCACCCTCTTTTATGTGTATACTGGTGTATTCCTGTGTATTCCGGTAGATTTCACTATGTGTATTCCAGTGTATTCATGTGTATTCTGGTAGATTTCACCCTCATTTATGCATATTCCTCTGTATTCCTGTACATTTCACCCTCCTTGATGTGTATTCCTTTGTATTCCTTTGTATTCTAGTGTATTCTGGGTAAATATGTGGACCCAAATTTTCCCCCCACCTACCGTTTTGCCATACTCCTTATGCAGGTTACTGAACACATCCGTGGCCGAGTACGGGCGGTTCTGTTTCTTCAGATACTCCAGCACAGCGGAGGCAGCTGTAGCAAACAGGCACGGTACATTTGTGAGCTCTTCCAAGCAAAAAAACTCAAAAGTAACGTTAGTAACTCTCCAAGCAGAGGGTTGTGGTTTCGGTTATATTTTGGCGTGTTTTTAGGCTTGTTAAAAATAATATCAGGGTTTCTTTTCTGCAATGGAATTTTTTTTGTTGGATGGAAAAACTCCAATGCAAAAAATAAACCCCGATTTTAAAAAAAAAGCCTAAAAACACGCCAAAAAAACCCCAAACCCAAAAGCTCTGAGCTCTTCAGAAAATTTCCCTGACGTTTGTTGTTGTACACAACGCAAACAAAATTCCAAATTGAGAATGAGAGAAATCAAGCCAAACCTGCTGCTTCCTTTGACTTGCTCATTGTGCTGTCTTCTTTGATCTTCCTATTCGTAGCCTCAAGATATGGTCACATTCCTCATAAAATATCTACCAAAGATTTCCGAGAGTCAACTACAAAAGTGCATTCTTGGAGCCATCTTGAAAATGGCGCTAAAATAGAAAGGTTAATATTATGCATGAGGTCATAGGTCAGATAAAAATGGCGGTCAACTCGAACGGTTCGAGTGACGTTTCCTGGTTTTCTTCACTTTTCTCGTCTACAGATTGCGGAAACGAGCTGATTTTCCAGATTCACTGAAAGAACAAAACACCATAGCTGTACAGGTACATTTAGTTTCACATTGTCGGTCCGTATATGTTGTGATAAACGTAGAGCAGTTGACATAGACAGGGCCAGGGGGAGGGCATGTCTAGGCAGGTCTTGTGTCTTGTTTTTTCTTGGCTTTGAATAGTTTGATGCTCACGATCTGTACGTTTTGTTAGTATGTTGCTGAAGATTATTATGACATGTTTGGGGGTATTATTTACGGACATGTAGAGTTCTAATCACAATCAATAGTCTTAGTCTTAGTCCAAATCCCGTTACCATGTATACCATAGGGACCACGGCTTGCATTAATATTATATAACCGTTAGTATTACTAGTACGTTATACCAAAATGCTTTATGTTAGAGTATATCTATATAATATTCTATTATGACATAACAATGATCTATACACGTATGCTCCCCTTATATCTTTCTGATTCATAATTTGCCTATAGAAGAATTCCATTCATGCTTTTCTATTGGTTGTAATGATTTCAAAGCGTGTTTTATCTCTTACTTTTAGGTGCCCCTCATTATCAGTACTGTTTGAAACATTAAACTTGTGACACGATTTAGTCATCACCATGGCAACATCAAACCCGCTGACAGCTGACCAGATCCGGCGAATGGAGGAGAACAAGAGACGAGCCCTGGCACTGCGCGCACAGAAACAGGCACAACAGACCACAGGAAGGGAGAACTCATGCTCTAATACAGCATCCAGAAATACCAACACTTTGTTACCGCAAAAACAGAATGTAATCCAACGGATGTCTAGTACAGGACGAAATGAACAGTCTTTCACACATCAGAAACCTGCCCAAACACATAATGTGGGTAGGTTTGGTAATACTACTACTAGTGGGAAGCAAAATGTACCAGCAGCAAGGATGTCGAGTACAGGACAAAATGAACAGACATACACACACCGGAATACATCAGAGAATACTAGTAGTAAAGTTGCCCAATCATATGATAATGTGGGAAGGTTTGGTAATACTATGAGTGGGACGCAAAATGTACCAGCGGTAAGGAATCCTGTTTCTGGCAATCAACCTGGAAGCTCTACTACAGAAACAAGAAGATTCTACAGTTCTTCAAAGTCAAACAAACCACTGCTTGGAAACAACACTGGAAAGACACAAAACTCAGCCCAGGCAACCTTCTTCAAACCGAAGGGAACAAACTATAATGCGAATGTTAGTAAGCCATCCTCTGCAGGTTTTTCTAACCAGAAGAGTAGTACTAGTAGCACAAACTTTGCAGCAAGAAAAGAGGGAAAAGTTCTGCCGAGGTTTGGAGAGGGAGGGACTGGCACGTGTGTTCTGTTGTCCAGGGAGAGATTTGAAGTGCAGGTTGGGTACTGTGCACCACTCATCGAGGTGTTCAAACAGATGCCTACTAAATACTACGGTAGGTCTTTGATAATCTCCAAGCAGATCCTAGGGTGACAAAAGACATACAAAATGTATTATCAAATTGGCCAGAGTGGTGTATGGTCACCCTCTCTGGCAAATGGATACTGCCTGGCCAATTTGATACTGTCTTTTACCACCCTAGGATCTGCTTTGAGATTAGGTCTTTAAGTTTAAGCAATGTAGACAATTTTGATATAGTTTATCCTATTGCATTTTTTTTGTAAGGCATTTTATTGGTCTAGACTGTCCATTTTATCTTATTAGTTCAGCAGTATTTTAATTATAAAATGTGGCTAGGCAACAGACACAAGATCAACTCTCAGGTGATGACCAGTCCTTGCATTCCTTGCAAGACATTGTGTCCCATTTTCGTTTCCATTTTACAGATATGCAGACGAGGGTGTGGAGTTTTGAGCTGAAAGACTATGAGAAACTGAGTAAGTCTATATAATATAGTCTTGATTGGTGAACTGGATTGGAGTTTGGGTATACAGGACTTTAATTAAGTCATCAATAGGAAGAAAATGTTAGTAAATACTGTTGATGTATACTTACATGTATAGGCCTAGGCAAAGTTGGCCCCATCAACATGTGTACACCATTATGAATAGTCAGCCAATATTACTAAATATTGTATAGAATTTCTACTACTTCACTAACTGGAATAACTTCCTCTCTTGAAAACATTTTCACAGTGGAGAGAGTCCAGAAAGCTCAGCTGCCTGTCCAGTTGTCCCCCCTCCCCAAGTCCGTCCTGACCACGTTTAAGAACCAGTTGAAGGGGAAGATGACAGAGGAGCTGGACAGGAGAGTTCCAGAGGCAGACCTCAGTCGGGTGGAGCCAAAACTAGTCAACACACTCCTGCCCTTCCAGAGGAAGGGAGTCAAGTAAGGCTTCCTTTCTATCTATCTTAATCTTAGTTGTCTATGATGGGTTGCCAGGTGGTCCTTACATAGAGATGGTCACTTGTACAGGTTTGACTTATTCCTCTTGATTTAAAGTCAAACCTGTACAAGTGACCATCTCTACAGTGTATGTATTGTCTACAAAGAGCAAATTTTACTGGTTCCCTGGGTGGTCATGCATTTTTACGATTGTGCAATCACTACAGCAGGGGGCTAGTCCGCTGGTAGTAGTGTGTGTTTAACTCCCATACTCTTTCTCAAATGCTGAGTGCTAAGCAGAGAAAGCAGTATGAACCATTTTTAATGTCTTTGGTTATTATTATGACTCGCATGGGGATCAAGCTCAGGACCTACCGAATGTAAGGCGAGCACTCTACCAACTTGGCCATTGCACTGGTCCCTGATTGTTGATATAAATCACATGATGTTTTATGTGTCCACAGTTTTGCAATCTGGCGGAATGGGCGTGTGTTGATAGCAGATGACATGGGGCTGGGTAAGACCATGCAGGCTCTGTGTGTAGCAGCCTACTACAGACAGGAGTGGCCTCTCCTCATCGTCACACCTTCATCACTCAGGCTCACATGGGCAGAGGTACAACTATATATGTTTGGAGGGTACAGTGTCTGTGACTATACAAATGGAAAAAAGGGGGGGATAAGAATATATTTCTTTGTTAGAGATCCATACTAATACTATACTGTATGGCAACTTTTGTAATACAATGTAGCTACACTGATAGTAGTACCAAAAAAATGTATGTGGCTTCTGCTATAGCTACAAGTATATAGGTTTCAGGGGCTAAAAACTTTTTCTTCTGCTGTCAGGATGACTGGTAGACTTCTTGATAAATATTTTTTTTTATTCCAAACCCCCCTAGCTTGCACCAAACCAGAACTGACTGAATCTTGATTTTCAAGTCATCCAAAAATCTAACTTGAGCTTTTGCTACTGTTGCCGTTGATCCGGAAAAAAAAAAAAGAAGACAAATGGTGAAGTTTGTGTCATGTTTTTAGGCTTTCCGTCGGTGGCTGCCCAGTGTGCCGTGGCTGCCCAGTGTGGCTGCCAGGCCAGGTCTTTACTGTCATGCTGACCGGTTGAAAAGATTGATCAGCATGAAAACTCTTTGTCCCTTGCAGGGGTCCACCCCAAAAAAAGGCTAGGGTCAGCAGTTTTTTTCTAGGGTCAGTTGGCAAACACAACATTTTTTTCCTAGGCCCCAGACAAATGGTGAAGTTTATTTGTGTGTGTGTATTGTTTTTAGGCATTCCATCGGTGGCTGCCCAGTGTAGACCCACAGGCCATTACTGTGATGCTGACCGGTAAGGATAACCCCAGGTCAGGACAGGTCACCATCACCAGCTATGACCTCATGGTCAGGTGCAGTCAGCAGATCAGGGCCCGCGGGTACAGGGTCATCATCATGGTAGGGAGATACATTTGCCATTTTCTTGTGTTTTTAACACATACTTAGTAATTATATGAAGGGTAGACAGTCACACAGGTATTGAGGTACATGTATATGTGTGCAAGAACAGTCATTGATGAACAGTTTAAAAAATCTATCCAGTTACTTCAGTAACTGTTTTGTTATGTATAACAAGGATGGTTATCCTTTTCATGTCTGAGCCAAAAAAAAAAGTTCTGCACTGAAATATACATACTGTGAAGTGGTAGCAGCTTATGATATGACCCTTAGGCCACACCAATTTAATTTCTTGGTTAACGGATTTTTCCAGAAAAATAATGGAGCGGGCGGGCGAAAAAAAAATAAAAATAAAAACAGGCCAGGCATCCTATTATGGCCCAAAATGGCACGATAGGAGCCATGAAGTTAACACACCAGGCTGGTTCAAAATTTAAACAATGAATTTTGAACTTTTAATGATACCATTGCATTGAAAGATGGAATAACTGTAACAAGTAGGATGAAAAGGACTGTTTTCAACTGTTCAGGGCAAAATATGAGCATTTTGCAGTTGATTCTGAATTTTTATTTTTATTTGCAAATCAGAAAAAAATGAAGAGGCGAATCCGTTAACCAAGAAATTAAATTGGTGTGGCCTTATTAGGAAAATCCAATATTCTTTGCATGGCATTTTACTCTTTGACTACAGGCACATTGGACAGCAAGTTTCTATCTTGATCTAATGACAGCCACTTCCTCGGCCTGTTTCCATGGTATGTTTGCTGGAATGAGTTGATTATTTTTATGTCTCTCCTCAGGATGAGTCCCACGTGTTGAAAAACTTCAAGACAGCCCGGACAAAAGCAGCACTGCCACTGCTGAAGGTAACAAAATTATCATATCATGAAAAGGTTGACAGAACAGGAATCAAAATGTAACTTTCTGGTGCTTTTTTTCTCGAAGACATTACAGATATCAACGGTTTTATCTAGCCTGACTAAATTGTGCTCCTGGTGGCTACTTGCCCCAAAGGTTGGGGGTCATTAACTCCTAGCCGAGAGCTTGAATGTGATAAACACAGGCTATGGTTTTACCATCCCTCCCCAGACTGCATCCAGAGTGATCCTGTTGTCAGGCACCCCCGCCCTGTCTCGTCCTTCTGAACTCTTCACACAGCTGTCTGCCGTGGAGCCCAGACTCTTCAGCAGCTTCCACGAGTTTGGTGTCAGGTATTGCGAGGGCAAACAGGTGAATAGTCTTCTCCACTCATACATGTCCATCCATATTACTTCTGTATCTGTATAGCCAGCATAACCGCCCTTAGGCATAACACACCAACTTCTGACGTTCTGTATCTGTATAGCTGGTATAACCGCCCTTCGGCATAACACACCAACTTCTTAGGCACGTGGCATGGCAGCAGCTGGCTACATTACATGGCCGAATGACCTGTTACACCCAACCCTTGGACATCTAACCCTAAACGTTTATAAAAAGCCCCTACTGTACATTTTGTACTTGGAAGCTCATAATCGTCATATCAAATGCCATTACATGTTATAGCAAATTACAGCATGTTACTGTCTACTAAATATTCAAGGCTTTTGTGTTTTGTATCTTGAATGATAGATAACTTAGCAGTGTTTGTATGACTTGTATCTTGTAGACTGCCTTCTGCTGGGACTACAGCGGCTCCTGTAACATGAAGGAACTTCAGTTGGTCCTGGAAGAAAGGGTTATGATCAGGTGAACTTTTATCTTTTGTTATTAAAGCTTTATTATACATGTATATAGATGCTTTATCAACTGTTAGAATGAACCAGGTAGGTGTATGCTGTTAACGGTATATCACAGCATGATTTTTTTATGGTTGACATTGTATCAAACATTTAACAAAAACATTTCCCTCTGTCCTTGGTTTTGACAGACGACTGAAGAAGGATGTCCTCTCTCAGCTGCCCTCCAAGCAGAGACAAGTGGTGAGAACTTCTCTACTGATTGTATAAAAAATGTCTGGACTAGTTTTATATTCAAGAAGGCCACATTCTGTAACCATTGTTTATACAATACCTGTGCATACCTGTAACATCAGTACTTTTTATTGTGTGCAAACAAAAGTGTTAAACACATAATCGGGTAAAACCTCAAGCTTGATGGCAATGAAAATTGTTGTTTTTTTAATTTCTAGGTGGTTATGGAGCCAGGAGTAGTCAACATGAAGAGTTTTCAGGCAGCTGCCACAGAAATGACAAAGAAACACAAGAATGTAAGCTGTTGTTCATGTTCCACCATGTTCGATCTGACGTCATTTGAACAGAACACTAACTAAAGTCTTGTTCGGTGATGAGTGATTGGCATCATCTGGCTATATGATAATGGCAAAAGGTACTGGTAGTGTTTTATCATCTAGAAATGTTCTAGTTTGAACAGTTTTGTTCTTTTGTTCCCAGAATGCAGAACAGAGAGGAGCCCTTCTCCAGTACTTCAATGAGACTGCACTGGTCAAGATCCCTCACATCAAGTCAGTTGACACCCATCGGACCTAGATGTAGAATTTTGATAGAACCATACATGCTAGTAATCTTATTATCTGCCATACATTGTACCTGTTACAATTGTTGCACAATAAACCGGCCTCGACTTGACTGTTTCGCTGCAGAAGTTGCATTGAGGTCTTCAATGTAATTTTATTGAAAGTTGTGGTGAAGGTATGATAAAATTATTTGTTAACTTTTTGTGTTTAAACATGTTTTTGTGTTTAATACAGAGACTATGTTCTGGACCTGTTGGAGTCAGACAGGAAGTTCCTGGTGTTTGCTCATCACCAGATTGTCCTGGACTCACTTGGAGATGTTCTGGACAAGAAGGTAATCATCTAAGTGTACAGTCAGACAAAAGCTTGAGTGAAAGCTCATCTGTGTTGGTAGAATCTGTAGTTATAGAGTTTAAGCTTTGTTCCAACACAAGAAGGAAACTCACCATATATTTTCAGTCAATCTCGTCAATCTTTGTCAGATGTGTGATGCACTCGCTGACTCTCCGAAAGTCGGAAACACAATGACGTCAGGAGTGCATCAACGTCTTGGTGTTGGATCTTACTTAGTAAGTTTTAACTTTATGTAACTACACACTGAACTTTCATATATCAAAATAATGTATTATCATATGTATCATATGTATCATCAAATGTATTCTTTGCAGGGTTATGGGTACATCAGGATAGACGGTAAGACCCCGTCAGACATGAGACAGCAGCTGTGTGACAGGTACCAGCTGAAGGACAGCTGTCAGGTCGCCCTGCTGTCCATCACAGCGGCTAGCACAGGGCTCACCCTCACAGCTGCCTCGCTGGTGGTGTTCGCTGAGCTCTTCTGGAACCCTGGGGTAAGTTAGACAAGGTGGGGTCGTGTGGCGTAGCGGCACGCGACTAAGAACCTAGAGGTCCCGGGTTCGAGTCCTGACATGCCACCGATCTTGTGCCCTTGGGAAAGGCACTTTACACGACTTTCCTCACTTCGCTCAGGTGAAAATGGGTATTCAGAGTTCGAAATACAAAGGTGCAATGTGCAAATTGCACGTAATTTTCAAGATTTGCACCTAAAAATATTTTGAATGTGCAATTTTGCACCTGGAAAATACCGATATATCATGTTTGCACTGCGTATCTCCGAAGTTTCTTGCTGTGTCGGCATCGCGCTGGGCGCATGGCAGCCATATTGTTTTCCTTACTGTACATCCTGGGAACAAGCTGCTCTCGTCCCCAGGTGAAGACGCGAAGGCACTACGTAATGATTTACCAAATATGACAAGACGCAAAGGCCTACGTAGCTGATTTACCAAATATGGTGAGACCCACGAAACTTGTTGTCCGATGTGGGACGAAGTCCTTCGGCAGAGTAATTTCGGCTTTTTCGTCCAATTTTCGGTGAAATTCGGTGAAAAACAGAGTTTTCGGATTTCCCAGCATTCAGTGCTACCCAAGAAATTTGTAAAGCATGAAGAAGGGCCCATGAAGAAGGGGTCGATTTTCAAGTTCTTTTCACGGGCCCAGCCGGCATCAGAGGCTGGTGCAGCCGGTGGCGGTGGACCAGAGGCTGGTGCAGCCGGGGGCGGTGGATCGGGAGATGCCACCGGGTCCACCGTCTCCGAGGATCCCGCGGCCGCGGCCGATGTTGACGATGCGCCCCTAGAGGAGGGGGAGGGGAGCGCCAAGAAGCAAAAATTTACGTTGTTTTGTTCTAAGCAGTATTTTTTACGTTTGCCGCCATGCGGCGGCAAACGTAAACATACGAAAACAATGCTTCCATCAACCCTTCGTTGGGTGAACATTTTCGTTTGGGTGTTGCATTCAATGTTTATCTATTATGTTTGCACTTTTTATTGTGGTTTGGACCTACCAGATCACATCAACACAATCCTTATATGACAAAGTTATCAAAAATAAAACTTGATTTGTCTTAAAAAAATATTCTGTACCACTGTATGCCCAAAGTGATGCTCAGAAGAGAATGAAAATTGAGATAATGGGCTTGATGAATGAATTGCATAAATTATGTTAATATCGATGACAAGTAAAACATTCATTGTTTATCTATTATGTTTGCACTTTTAATTGTGGGATGGACCTACCAGATCACATTAACGCAATCCTTATATGACAAAGTTATCAAAAATAAAACTTGATTTGTCTAAAAAAAAAATTCTGTACCACTGTATGCCCAAAGTGATTCTCAGAAGATGATGAAAATTGAGATAATGAGCTTGATGAATGAATTGCATAAATTATGTTGATATCAATGACAAGTAAAACATTGGCCCTCGCGCATCGTCTGTAAATAGTGGACAAATATTCCAACAACGATGTTGTAATTGTGGTCCACTACATTGTTGCTAAGTTTCCGCACTAAAGAAACTTTTAAAAGAACCTCTTTTGCCGAAATATACTCCCTTGGCTGCTAAGAGAGAGTAGCAGCCACCGCCATTAGCGATTAGGGAGGATGTACTATTTCACCACATCGCTAGATGTCGCTGCTGTCGCTGTTCATATGTTGGTCTTGCAGGCCCCGGATGTACTGGAGGGCATGGATGGGGGAGATTACGATAAATTTTCGCCGCCGATTACGAATTAAGTTAAATTCACAGAGCTGTTACGACTTTATGCGTTAAGGCTAATGTAATATTACGTATTTCTTTGATTTGGAGGGTGAATGGCTACGGATTACGAAGACTAAAATGTTCCGCTTACGCCTTACGAAAAAGGTCATGCAGGCTCCTACAAGGCGCATTCTCCCAGCTCAGGTATGTACCATGCATGCCCCAGTATTTACGCCATATAAATTTAAAAATATCAGCAATGTTATGAGTATTAGGCATAAAGTCACAGGAAAATAGTATAGCTAAAAGTACCATGGGCAAGGGTGATCAATGTAATTGTGTTTCGACGCGCTGTTTAACAATATTTGTAGTCAAACTGAGCTGACCCATGCAACAGCCCGCCGCCCCCCTCCCTCCTCTTTGGATGTACAAATGCGTGGAACAAATTATCTCTTACGTATGATCAATGCAAGGCTACGTTTCTTGCTTATTAATTACCAGCAGATGCTTGCCAATCTTAAAGTTTGTTCTCTGGAGTGTTTCTACCGTATCGCCATAATTTTTTGTATTGTTGCATAAATTTTCGCTGTCAGTGTGGGGGGGGGGCGGTACAGGCTTTTCATGCGGGCTTTTCATACGTCGCCAGTATTTTGTTGAAAAAACTTTGAGCTTTCAAGCTATTCGGTTCACACGTAAATCTTTCCTGGTATCAAACCTATCTCGATTTCATCAAGAAATTTGAGTGTACTCAGAAACCTAAGAATTTTTCATCAATATGGCAACAAATAGAAGCTCTCTCTACATATTACTTTTTTTATTAGTATATGGGCAATTTTGACAACTTTGCTGTGTTTTTTTAGCAACGAGAACTCAATATTCATGTGCACAGCTGCAGATTTTATGTTGAAACAAATTATTTGTCATCTCTTTCAGATGTGTCTTTGGCATTTGGATACCACAAGGCAGTCAACCTGTGCCACCGTGCACTCAAAACCAACCTGTGCCACCGTGCACTCGAAACCAACCTGACTGTGCCACCGTGCACTCAAAACCAACCTGTGCCACCGTGCACTCAAAATCAACCTGTGCCACCGTGCACTCGAAATCAACCTGTGCCACCGTGCACTCAATACTAACGTGCCATTGTGCAGAACTTGCAGATTGTATACTGGATGAGTCCATGTCTCACGAGTGAATTTTTCAAAACCAGAAACTGTATCTTGCCCTGAAACCAAATATTCAATAAACAATCTGAACACATACATTTAAAATCTGTGTATACTTGTGTCACATTTCTTACATCTAAGCCATTGATTGCCTTTGCCCACAATGTGTGAAGCTATACTATCAGGAAAATACCACCAAGGTGACAACATTTTCAGTGAAACTAGTAGAGGTAAACAGTGCACTGCAAATTCTTTGATAGCTGTTTTATACCACACAGCTTGCAAACAAGCAATGTCCTGGACACATGCAGATCTTGATATTGTACTGTTTGAAGGTGACAAACTTTACAACCACATACGACCATCTCTACCATCTACTGTATGCTACCTATCAGCTGATGATCTGCCAGACTATTGGCAGCTTGAAAGCAACACTTTACATATAACAATCAAAGAGCGATATACTGGAAATGTTTTCAGCAGACAAGCAAGTTATCCCTACTACACATTGCAGAAAGCCCTTGAAGAAGCATTTGCCATATCAGACACATGTTTGCTTATAACAGCATCTGGATTAAGTGGTTCCACGGTTGCTTTGCTGCATACTGATAACAAATATTTTGTTTATGATTCACATGCCAGAAGCCACACAACAGCACTGCCTGATCTCCATGGTTCATCTGTTTTAAGTACGCACATATCAATCCGTAGCTTATGCCAATTCTTGCAAACACTCAATCACAACACAGGTGTGATATGCAATTTTGAACTTGTAGCCCTGAAATCAGTATGTGATCAGAATGTGCCATGGCCATGTGATCGTACTGATGTAAACTATGTCACACTGACTGACAACAATGTGCCCGTGTCCAGGGAGTCAAACAACTGCTCACAGCCACAAAATGTGAACTTACCTCAACCTGAATTGACTAAAGAAATAGAAACGGGTAAGCAAAAAGCTAATAGAACACATTGCACAATTAAAAAAACAAGAAAAATAGATGACAAAAAAGTAGACAAAGTTACAAGGCAAAGAGAAAAAAACGATATGAAACAAAGAGAAACAGCTGAGCAAAAGGCAGAGAGACTTGCAAAGCAAAGAGAACGTTACAAAGCCAGGAAACAAAGAGAAACAAATGCGCAAAAGGCAGAGAGACTTGAAAAGCGAAGAGAATGCTACAAAGCCACGAAACTAACAGAAACAGTAGAGCAAAAGGCAGAGAGACTTGAAAAGCGAAGAGAATGTTACAAAGCTTGTAAACAACAACAAACTGCTGTAAACAAAGAGGACAAACTTGTAAAGGAAAGAGAGCGTTACAAGGCCAGAAAAGTAACAGAAACAGTTGAGCAAAAGGCAGAGAGACTTGCAAAGCAAAGAGAACGTCACAAGGCCAGGAAACAAACAGAAACAGTTGAGCAAAAGGCAGAAAGGCTTGCAAAGCAAAGACATAACTACATAAGTAAAAAAGCAAAAGAAACAACAGAGCAAAGGTTACAACGTAATCAAAAACATAAGTTAATATACAAATCCAAAACAACCAATGAATCTCCTCTGCAACGAGCTGAGCGTTTAAAAAAGTGTCGCGACTACCAAAGAAATACAGCTGCTAAGAAATATGTGAAAGAACATGGCACAGGTAACACTGAGCATACTAATGAAGGGTACAAAGCACAGTTCCCAGCATTCCATTGCTACATACAACAGCAACCAAAACACTACTGCATTCTGTGTAGAAAATTCTTATTTCATGATGAAGTGAGAACCTGTAACATTCCTGTAACAGATACAATGAAATATACACATCAAAATGACAGCTCCAATCAATGTTATCTGTGTTCAAAGTGTTCAATTGCTACTGATAAACAGAAACCAATACCCAATGCTTGGAGAAACAAAATGGACCCAGGTGACATTCCATCATGTCTTAAACAGCTCACTAGAATGGAAACAAGACTCATCAGTCTAAAGTACACATTTTTAAAGCTGGTTATCCTACCAGGTGGACAATATGGAGAACAAGGCCAAGCCATAAGTTTCTCGACCAACATTGAAACTTCTTGCAACCTGTTACCACGCTGTCAGGACACATCAGGAATTGTAATAGTACACCCCTCTAACACTGA